ACGCCAAACCGGCCTCAACAAAACCCAGATCACCAATTGGTTAGCAAATGCACGGCGACGTGGTAAGGCTCAGCCCCCTCGGTCTACCTCGCCCCACGTTGGTAATCTGTCTGCGTCAATCGATATTCCGCGAAGACGAGGAACGCCAGCTCTCGAATCCATGAATCCCCTTCAACGTTGGGAGCACTCACCCCCTGAACATGAACCGGCTTCCGTGACAGCCATTGCTAGGGCTGTCACAGCGTCGTCGTCATCCGGAGTATCCTCTGGACTCAACAGCCCGTATAGTTTCAATTACACAGATGATGGCTCCAGCAGGTCGCTCTGTAATCAGTCCTCTGCCAGCAGTGTAGGAACATCTCACTCAAGCGGTGGTTCTCTTCATTCTGCGTTCTCTCATGGCTCGCGGAACTCGTGGGGCTCGTTCGGCTCTGCGCCTTTCGCTACCAAAGCAAGACGGCGAAGGAGGCGAAGGGCAGCGCCCGGTAACGAGGGAGGGTCAACCAGCCTTTCTATCCCTCTGAAAACTTTCCAGTGTACATTCTGTACGGAAACTTTTAGAACCAAGCATGACTGGCAGCGCCACGAGAAATCGCTTCACTTGTCACTGGAGAGATGGGTGTGCGCACCAGACGGTCCTCGAGCCGTCAATCCGGAAAACGGGCTACTATGCTGCGTGTTTTGTGGCGAAGTAAACCCAGACGATGCCCATGTAGAAACCCACAACCACTCGGCGTGTCAAGAGAGATCTTTGGAAGAGAGAACTTTTTATCGAAAGGATCACTTGAACCAGCATCTTCGATTGGTCCACAATGTCAAATTCATGGAATGGGCAATGAAGCCTTGGAGAGTGGCAACTCCCGAGATTCGGTCGAGGTGTGGTTTCTGCGGCATTGTGATGGATACTTGGACAATTCGAGTTGACCATCTTGCGGAGCATTTCAAGACTGGTTATTCCATGGCGGACTGGAAGGGTGACTGGGGTTTTGAAGTACCTGTGCTAGACATGGTCGAGAACTCGATTCCTCCTTGTATGAGACCATTACAGTATCCCATAGATCAGATCAAGGCGTCTAACTTTTGAAATATAGATTTGATTCATCATGAGCGAAAATCCCCTCTGCCGTATAATGCCAGCCAATCGCCACCAGAATCGCCTAGGAATGCCTACGAGTTGATTAAACTGGAACTGGCCTACTTTGGCAGCAACTTTTGGGATCTGCACGGCCGGGCACCGACCGAAGACGACTTGACGCTCGAAGGATGTCGTATCATTTTCGCTTCCGAGTTGCTGTCTTTACAAGGCATTGCGACACAAGCCTCGTGGCTTCGTGATATTATCATGAGCCAGGAAGCAATTGTTAAACAGGCTAGGTTTGGTCCCCTCCGTGGTGCAGCAGAAAACAGGCTTCAAACCCTTAAAATTAACGGCAAGGATAACTTGTTCGAGGAGTGCCCTATGGAAAGGCAGCTGCAAGAATATGTCAAGGCCAAACAACTACTGGGACTAACGGCCATGGATGATGAGCTTCAAGAAGAAGCACGTAAGATTGTGGGGAGAGTCGAAGAAGTGTGCACTCACCCTTCTGAAGCAGTGGCCAACTGGCTTTTGCGAATGATCACGGCATCGACAAAGTGGCTTGAGGGATTCCGTCGGCGCGCCCATCTGCCTCGAAGCGAAGACGTCCAACATAAATCTATACGGTCAACGGATCCGAACTCGATCGACTCCACAATTCACAACTATTCAAGAGTAGAATCAGAATTGGCTGCATTCCTAAGAGAGGAGCGCACTATGGGCAGAGAGCCCACAGACCATGAGTTGCAGCGACAGGCTCGTATCATCGTCTATGAATTCGATGACGGATGGAATCAGACTGTGGCGGATAACCACGAGTGGCTTGCAGCTTTTAAAGCACGGAACCACCCTAATAAGACCTCCACTTCAGATTCACCAAGTTCACCAAAGAACTTCAGAGTGAATACCAGCAAGCCAGCCGAAAAATCACAAATCTCTCTTTCTACTATTGCTCCAAACCCCTTTTCTGAATTCCAGGCTCGGCTTGACGAGAATGGCAATCATCTCAGATCATTCCAGTATTTCCTCAACGATGCCAACTGCTACCGAAGGCTAGAGAAGGAGCTCAGGAGGTGGGTCGTATCTACCATGTCGCCAAACAATCCGAACCGGCACGTGCCTACGGATGAAGAGTTGCAATACCAAGCTCGGTGGATCTTATATGATGAGTAAGTTGCCGTGCGTTTTCTTTTAGACGAGTTAATATTAACGAGTGTATGCAGTGATGATCCATGGAACTATACCGCAGCCGACAATGCTGAATGGCTTCATCGGTTCAAAAGAGACACTCGCATAATCAACGACTCCGGCCCCGGCCTGCCACCAGGCTACGCATGGGCGCTGGAGCAAGGCGGAACAGGCTTTGCACCCCCATATGCCTTTCTTGGGGATCACGATCCGGTTAATAACAACGTCGAGGTGGCGATGCGAACCGGAGCCAAAGCTATCACGGCGGGACACTCAGCCGTCAATAGCTACCTAGAAGAGTTGACGTCATCTCCGAGTCGTAAACCAGCTGTTATTTTCTGTTCTCGTGAACTGGAATGGGGTTTACAGCAATATTCCAAGGCTTACTTCATCGATACAGGCCTTTTGCCTTCGGATATGGCGCTAAAAGCTAAGGCGCGAGAGATCCTCAAGACTGAAACAACCGCCGCAGATGATCCTGTCCTTTTAGATAAATTCAAGACGTGGCTAATCACCAAGCTGCCACAATTGGCATCTGGAGAGCCCATCCAGCAAGAAGCCGATGCCATGGGCAGCTTCCCCTCTGCTGTGCCCACGAATATGGACATCAATATTTCTGATGCTGAGATTGGTGACATTCTCAAAGATATGGATTTCGACTTTGGATTGGGGACCATGGAAGGAATCGAGCATGACGGAGGTGTCAGTTTGAAGGCGACATTTCCAGGAGAGTCGGAGCCTTCAGTGCATGAGATTGTAAATGACGATGAATGATGATGGATGAAGAATGTCGCCCATATTTTTCTTTTCTTTTCTGTTCTCCTCTCTTTGATCTTTCTGTTTTGCCATATACCACCGTTGCATAAAATGTATAAACAAAAGATGAGCATTTATAGCCGCAGTTTTGGATAACATACGAGGTGTTTGGATTTTTCTGGCGCACGAAGTTAAGTTTGATGAAAATGGCATGAGAAGCAAAAGGGGGTGCATATACGCAGTAGTAAATTGAAGCTTGAATGAAACTGAAGAGACTCGTCAAAGTGGTGGTGATGAAAAGTGAAGATGAACAACTTGAAATATTGAGAGAAAATGTTTTACATACGAGCTGTGAAGCGGTCTGGCATTAAGGCAGGTGCAATAGAACAGATGGGAAAGTTCGAGCAGGAAGGCTCATATGTGCACCTAGTAGTAGTTACATGACCAAGCTTGGTCGTAGGCCCAGGTTAAGGAAGACGACAAATATTAGCCGGACTGCTTGCTGGAAACATTTATATGTTACGTTTTACGCCTTACCCAGCTCTGTCAGCTGCAAGCATTCCAAAGGCCACTTGTTTCTCACCAAATCCATTATGAAAAATAGACTTATGAACCAAGCCTGTATGTTTAATTACAAGGTTCCCCCCAGAAAATTTCGTTTCTGCAACTGGTACGATGAGAGTTGCTATAGATGTCCAACGGCTAACTCTAGTTCCGCCATCAGCCGAAATAATATAGAGTAGAGTACCGATAACCCAAGGTGCATCACATCATCTCCCTGATCAGCCCACGCACGACTGAAAAATGACATTTATAAAACGCCAAGTCAGACCACCCAAGCTCCATCTGCGTAGTGGTACTCCGTCAAGTACTGTAGAATTAAGCTGGGTACTATATGTAGCTATCAGGTGAATAAGTGGGAACGCAAGCAAAGGCAATAAGCTGGGGCGTGGGACGGGGGCTATATTTGACAGCGGCATCCGTACCTTATTCTCGGCAACGTCTGATAGTCCATGTTTTCATCCGGCTGCCAAGAAACAGTTTAAAAAAATGAAAAATGAAAAATGAAAAATGAAAAATGAAAAATGAAAGGAAATGGAAAGGAAGAAGCACATTTCGACTACAAAGCATGGAGAAGACTGTGTAGAGCGTTTGATGAAGGACTATGAACATAACCCAAGCCCAAATTGGTACGTCAGTTTCTTAGGCGCCCGTAGCCGCTATGAGCTCAGTGCAAGGGCTCGCATTTCGGGCGCTAGCCCTGTGTCTAAGACACGAAATTGATCCATCAACTGGCAAATGCAGCGGATTGGTAGGGACACAATAACCGTTAGCACCGACAAATATAGCAGCTGGAGGCCGATCCAACTGATGCCGCGCGTTAGTGGCAGCGTGCACAGCTCTGCCAACAACATCTCAAGAACGGCTGTTTGGCTGGCTCAATCTCCCTTTGCCGTGTCTTTGACCGCAGAATCATTGGCTGAGCTGGTGAAACCCGCCTCGAATCGCCATATTTCTGCCTCGGCCTCCGTGCTAATAAGCCATGTTCCACCAACTCGCCTAGGAGGCCATTTGTATATGTAAACACGTGCCGCAAGCCCGAGTCCGAGCCGTGGGCGTGCCGCTCCTGTAGCTTTTGTAGCCTTGTTTCCTGCTCCTGTCAGAACTGATTGCGAGGCCTCGCCCTCCTCGAATCCTAAGCCGGGCCCTTTGCTCATAAGAGGAGAGAGGGAATCGCCGCGAGTTGCCGGATATATATTTGGAGGGAAAAAATACAGGCAGCTCGAGAGGACAAAGAGCAACGTCCCGCCTTCGCGTTGCTCACTTCACTTGTCCCGGAGGCATGCATAGTCCTACATACCGTGTACTTCAACCAATGCGCGCGCTTCGGATGGTCAAGACTGTGATGAGCCTTAACATCTGACGACTCTTCCTCTCTCTTTCCACAGCACCAATAGAAGAGGCATCTTCCGCCATCATGCCAACCTACCTATGTCACGGGTTTCGGTGGACACGCAAGCTGATTCGCATCTTCGTTATCCTTGAAGATCTAGAGGACGCCGCGCCAGATTGGATAGTCGGTCGCGACAGCTCTGCAGTCATCCTTGAACGCATCAAAACCAAATTTGATTACCTGCCTCAACGTCTTCCCCACCAGCCAGCTGAAGAGCAGTCTGAAGCGCAATCCAAGCATCAACAGGAGCAGCCGCCGCCAGAGCAAACAGAGAAAAAGATCCTGCATCAGGACGATGACTTGACTGTACCACCATCTCGTGTCCCCGACTGCGAAGATAGTGTCTTGGTCAACCGGACATCTGCGGTGAAGCTGTTGGAGGAGTACGATCCTGAAGAAACAGCCATATCAGCGCGGCCATTTGCCTATGTCGCAGACCATGTTATCCGTATAGATTTGAGCGCCAACCTCTTAGAGGAAACGGCTAAGTATGACGCTCTAGTCAAGGAAAGGAATGAAGGCAATTGGTTCGAAAAGCTCCGCGACGAACTGCAAGCAGATGCCTCCATTGGATGGTACGTGGTTGTCAATGGAGATGAGGAGCGTGGCGTACCTGAATATGATGATGAAGACGATATTGAGAGCGATGTGACGGAGCAAGGAAAAGGAGCCGACGAAGGAGAAAGCGAACCACAACCTGAACAGCAAACAACTAGCTCTTCTCAGCAGCCAAACAAGGATCAATTACCAGTGCCCAGTAGAGTGACTAACCAGCCGCACTCTCTGCGGCATAAGATATCTCGTGCAGGCTTACGGCGTCTTTTTAGTAAAAAGGAGGCCTCTGGATGACGGATGCACTGTATCTTCCTGCACTTGCTGAATGGCTTGAGAAGGCGGCGATGGGAGGGATTTTCGGACCGTTTGGGAGAATGACCGTTTAAGCGTTTTTGATGGGCATTTCGGATAACATTTAACAATGGTTTTTTTGTAAAACATCACAATAATGAGTGCAGGGAGATTGATTTTAACACATCAAAGTCGCGACTAAGCCGCCAATTGGTTGTAAAAGCCGTGGAACGTAGGATGCATTTTAGTTAGTCGATGCTGCAAACTATCTTAACGTAGCCTAACCGGCACGTAAAACAAGCCAGTACAACATGTAAACGCATCATATGAATAAAGAAGCACTATAGCAGCGTATAAATGTGCAAAAAAAGCATCGCATCCTCTGGAATCGTGTAAGTGACTTGGCGGTTCAGTATAAGCAGATGACGTCGTCCCTACGCTGTCACGTGTAAAAGATAGGAGCTGGCAGCTACCTATCGCGAAATTATGGCAGGGGGGGCATTTTCATAGAGGAGCCGCTTCTTCTCCCTCAACCACATTCGGGATCGCCAATTCATTCCCGTATTGGGAGCGAATACGGAGTACTCAGAGGAGGGAACGGAAAAAGAAAAGGGAGAAGGGGGCAAAAAAAAAAAAGAAAAGAAGGAAAGAAAAGAAGAGAAGCGTCATCTTATACAGTCTGTGCTCGCTAGATACTACCGGCATTAACTATCGCATGGCGACCGCCCTCGACAGCCAACGACGCCCTTGCGCATATCGTACAAGCCGCCTCCATTTATAACGACTTCGTTCCAATGGCCTACCACGTACACCGCGATGAATCCCCGTTCTTTGCCCAGACGGGGCAGGAGCTCAACCTCGACGATAGCGATCTCTACGAAGAAGAAGACGAAGAGGAGGATCTGCGATCCCAGGTTGGTGGCAGTTCGGAGACATTCGAGATGGTCAGCACTGCCAAAGGACGAGAGGACCAATATGCTATAGGAGGAGGTCACAGCAGCGAGCGCCTTGTGGAAGGAGATTATGTGGATGCCGGGCCGTCAACATCAGCGGCAGCTGGGGGAAGCAGTCGTCTCAGCGCCAGCTCCGTGGAGAGCTTCCAGCTATACACGCCAGACGAGGAATTGACCGTAAGGCGCAAGTTTGACCGCAAGCTGGTGCTCTTTGTGGCGCTGCTGTACATGCTGAGCTTCCTCGATCGATCCAGTACGTCAAGCCACATCTCTACGGATTCACATCATACTATATCCCGCTATGTGTGCAGTTCAGTTGGAAGACTAACAAAGCTCAGACATTGGCAACGCGCGCATCGCCGGCATGGATGAAGACCTGCAGTCCGATCCTCCTCGCGACAACTGGTACCAGTGGGCTCTCACGTCCTTCTACATTGCGTATATCGCATTCGAGTGGATGTCCCTCTTGTGGAAACTTATCCCTGCGCACATCTACGTCTCTGTGCTGGTCATGACGTGGGGAATAACGGCTTCGCTACAAGCCGTTACTGTCTCGTATCCGATGCTCATCACATTGCGCGTTCTGCTGGGCATAGGTGAGGCTGGGTTTACGGGTGTTCCATTCTACTTGAGCTTCTTTTATAAGAGACAAGAGTTAGCTTTCCGCACGGCCATGTTCATATCCGGTATATATCTTCCCCTCTCTCCATCTATATAGGTATTGTTCTAACATGATGTCTTCAGCCGCACCCCTCGCGACAAGCTTTGCATCGACGCTGGCATGGGTTATTGTCAAGATCGGCCAGCTCAGCCCTATCGCTCCCTGGCGTCTCCTATTTCTCATCGAGGGCTTCCCTTCGGTGATTGTTTCAGTCATCGCCTGGGGCGTCATCCCAGACTCTCCCCAAACGGCCCACTACCTCACCCGGCGTGAGAAGAAGGTCGCCCGCCTTCGCCTCCGCCATGAGATCCCCTCAGCTTCTTCGTCAAAAGTAAACAAAAAACAGGCTGGTCTCAAGGCCCGAGAGATCCTATCCGTGCTCAGAGACCCCATCGCCTGGATCACGCCGGCCATGTTTTTCCTCACCAACATGGCCTACTCCTCCCTTCCCGTCTTTCTCCCCAAAATCCTCACCGAGATGGGCCACGATAATCTTACCGCCCAGGCCCTCAGTGCGCCTCCTTACCTCCTCGCCTTCATCATCGTCCTCTTTACGGCCCACATGTCCGATCGCCTCGCCACACGAACCACGCCCATTGTCTTCCACGCCCTCTCCTCATCTCTAGGCTATACCATCCTCGCCTTATCCAATACCCTCCACCTCCCCCCTTTCGTCCGCTACCTCGCAGTCTACCCCGCCGCCATCGGCTTCTTCAACGTCGTCACCCTCGTCATTGCCTGGAACATCAACAACCAGGCCAGCCAGAGCCGTCAGGGCGGCGGCTTCGCCCTCATGCAAGTCATCGGCCAGTGTGGGCCCCTCATCGGCACGCGTCTCTACCCCGACCGCGATGCGCCGTATTATACTAACGGTATGCGAACCTGCGCAGTAGCTATGCTTGGTGTGGCCGTGTTGGCCGTGTTGCTCCGCTTCTATCTGAAGCGTCAGAATCGCAAAATGGACGAAGCTGAAAAGGAGAGACAGGCAGACGGCTCTACCGTCGAGGAAGAGGGCTTGGTTGTGCCTGGCAAGAAGCGAAGATATGCAGACAAATTTCGATACATGCTATAAAGATAGCAGAGTAATTACTGGTTAGGTGGATAGCATATGATGTTGGTCATTAGAATTTGGAGTTGGTGGGATTTTGAATAATTTTTCTCTTGGATATTACAAGCGTTATGTAGACAGACAGCCTCTACACTCTTAGAATGAGTATAATACCTATTTTCCTCTATGCTATGAACAGCCTCTTCTTCTTTGATGTCTATGCTGTTTACATCCCCACCGCGCCTCTATGATCGTCAACTGCGTCATCCGTGAGAATGAGCACCGCCCCTAAAGTTCATCCATTTTGGCGCTTCATATCGGCTTACGCCATCCCTCCACCAATCCTCATTTGAACACACCTTGCGCTCCGCCGAACACGTTCCATCGTCCTTTTTCTGTTCCTCTTGACCAGGGAACATATTCTGAGCCACTCTACGGTAACGAGTTTTCCACCCTTCAAAGACTCCTCGGCCCTGTCGAGGCTGATATCTCCACTTCTGCCGGGCCATGTTAAGCCTCTGGCTTCCCTGTCGGTAAAAAGTGCTAGCCCATTTCCGTAAACCAAATCTCGGACGCTTAGAAAGGGAATTTGTCAAGCTGCGCAGAGAAAAGACGGATGCCTTGCGCTTGGACTGCCTGTGAGGATGCCCATGATTTGAAGGTGCGCCTGGCAATCTGAGGGCAAGATCGGGGCTCTCAAATCGACTACTGGTTTCGTGGGTGCCGTCAAGCTGGCCTTTGAAGTGTTCAACACTTCCCCAAGTCAGCCCTCCCTTGCTGGTTGCTGAAGCCGGAGTAGGAGGCAGGAAGTGCACTCCGGAAGGACTCTGCTGCTGCGAGGCAGAGTCACTGGGAAGGACCTCGCCGCTCTCTGACAGTTGGTACTTATTGTATGATGCTACCCTTGGTCGAACCTGGCTTTGCCACTGAGTAATTGCCGTGATTGCTTCTTCCGTAGCTTCAGGAGGAGCGGTGCTCATGGTCTTATCGTAACCTCCGTCTGACGACAGGGTAGAGCGAAGATTTGACAGTCGATCATTGGCCTTGCTGAAGCGAGACAAATCCGTAAGGCTCAACTTATTCGGACGGAACATTGATTCCGGAGACTGAACTCTAGTAGATACATGACCTTGGGAAGGATAAGAAGACGACGTTCTCCGAAGGTAACGGCTGATATTCTTGATATCATCCGTCATCGATGGAGAGGGATCCGAAGCATCAAGCCTGAGCTCATCAATCATCTTGAGAAAGCGGCCACTGCTTTGCGATATAACTCGAGGCGACAAAGTTTCAGGGCTGCTGAGCAGAGAAGAATCATGTATTTCACCGTTTCCATCTTCATTATTGAGAGGGGCCGGTAGCGACTTGATGTCTCTCCACTATCGAGCATAAAGTTCACCTTTACTCGAGCCCGCGAGCATGGCGGATGTATGCCAGTATGGAAGAGAGCTGACGGCCCAGGTGTCAGAATCTGCAGGATCAAATTCGATAGCGTCGTTTCCCTCTGTATCTACGGCCGTCGGCTTTGGCTTGGATCTCTTGCAAGACTCTGCATCATTGTCATCGTGGTCTAGCTCCGTTTCGGCCGGTTTAATTGCTTCAGGAGAGCATGACTGTGGCTGAGATGGGACTCCGGGAGAGTTGAAAACAAATTGGCTTGAATGTTGGTATCTGAAGCTCTGGCTGCCAGGAAAGGCTGCTCCAGGAGGAAGAGGATTGCGGCGTGAAGGAAGAGTTGAGTAATGAAGCATGGTGATGGTGTTGAGCCAAAGTGTAATGATAGTAGTGGTGAGCGAGAAATAAATGTGCTGCGAAGCGAGAGATCCTATGGGATCATAAATTTTATTAAGTATAGGGAAATTATCTAACGCTTGGGTTGTTTTGCGAAGGTACTAATGAATCTGAACTAGGCGGATGCATGTTAAATGCAAGGTAGGAGCTTCTTTCTCTGTTTGATAGATACAGGTTAGCAGCTCGTGAAGCGCTGAAGGAGCAACCTGAACAGCCAATCCAATGCTGCGGCTTTCATTGAGCTATGTCCTATATAAAGCGAATTAACGTCCCCGCTTTTCAACCAGTGATGGGTTCAAGTCTACAACTGGCTTCATGGTCTAGTGGTATGATTCCTGCTTCGGGAAATTAACCTGAAGTCCCCGATTCTTCAGAATCGCCTTTGCAGGAGGCCCCGGGTTCGAATCCCGGTGAAGCCCCATCTTTTTTATAGTTTTTTTTTACTATGTTTCACATATAACGAGATATCACGCATAACATTCTTTTTTCCAATAACGATATTTCTGGGTGCTCTTTATTGACTGCAATGGTGCAAGCCACCGACCGCCGACTCTGTATTGATAACCATTGTTCGCCAGCCGCAGCTATTTTTGGCTCGCACTTCCTCGGTGCGTGCGACAAAACACGCCAAGCAGCGCCAGCGCCTCGGATGCGAGGGGTCGGTCCTCTGCTGGACCCCGCTGGAAAGGCCCGCTACAGACCGACGACGCAATGCGCTGACAAACGTTGAAACAATCAAGCGTACCTGTACCGGCGCTGCGTTATAGGCGCTGCAGGTTCCCTGGCGCTGGGCTGGTGCGGCTCAACCACAGGCGCTGCTCCTCGTCACAAGGCGCCTCCATCAAGGGCCCCTCCCTCGTCGGCCTTTTGGCTCGTCTTTTCCCCCAAACCATCCCATCGTCCGCCATCCATCCGATCCGCCTCGAGGCCCAGCCCAGCCCAGAAACCACCGACCGCAGGCCCTTTTTGCCTTATTGCTTGCCTCGCCGTCCGTCTCCGCCTGCGCGGCCGACCGACTCGCCTGGCCGATCCCTGCCGAAACGGACGCCGCTTCTAGAACTCGGTGCACTGTCCACTTCTTCGCTGCTTGTGTTGTGTGCGTGTGTGTTTCCTGATCTACCCACCACCTGAATTGCCCACCTGCTGTATACCGATCTGCCTGCCTGCCTGCGTATTGTGTGTGTTACCTTGTCTTTTTTGCTTGCGGTCCCGCCCCTCATTCCCCTTGTGACCCTGAACTGTCGGTATAGTCCGAGTCTACCCTGTTGCCTGGGGCACTTGTTTGTCCTCTTTGGTCCAGAGAACTTGCACTCATGCGTGGTTGCAGCACCAGGATCTTGATATCGCTACGACAACAGACGTTCCGAGACGAGGCACAACCGCCGACCCGACGAATACAAGCACGAGACCCGGGCGCAATCGCTCTAGACGCCGGATCTGCGAGGACACAAACGACTCATCGGCCGATTGCGCAATATTATACCCAGGCGTCTGGATCTGATATCCTCACCGCGGCGCCCCTCCTCCCACCTTCTGGCTCCGGAATTGCTTTCTTTCAGCGAGTTAGCGCCGTCTCCTTTTTCGATTCCTTCAGGACCTGTTCGTTTGCCTGAAGCGAATCATGGGTAAATCGTGAGTGACGCTGCGCAAACCCCTTCTTTACCGTCTTTCGTTCGCACACCACATGGGGAAATGCGACATGAGTGTTCAAAAAGAAAAAAAAAAAAAAAAAAAAAAAAAAAAAAAAAAAAAAAGAGAAGGGCGGGAAAGAAGAAAGGCTGGCTATATGAGTCTCTGCAATTACCGGTGCTGACCGGCGTATACACATCATCATCGTCGTCGTCGTCGTCATCATCGAGAACCATTTCGTGATTTAAGCTGACATGGGTACCCTTTTCTCTTCCTAGACAGTCAAAACTCTCGCAGGAGCAGCTCGCCGAGCTCCAAAAGTCAACTCACTTTGATAAGAAGGAGCTTCAGCAATGGTACAAGGGTGAGCGTCATTGGCATAGGGAGAGTTCGACGAGTATATGATTCTGACATTGTCATGTCTCAAATATAGGTTTCCTGAAGGACTGCCCGTCGGGCATGCTCTCCAAAGAGGAGTTTCAAAAGATCTACCGGCAGTTCTTCCCGTTCGGGGACCCGAGTTCGTTTGCAGATTACGTATTCAATGTATTCGATAGCGACAAGTCGGGTAGTATCGACTTTAAGGAATTCATCTGTGCCTTGAGTGTTACCAGCAGGGGTAAGATGGAGGACAAACTGGATTGGGCGTTCCAGCTGTACGACATTGACGGCGACGGCAAAATAAGTTATGACGAGATGCTTCAGATTGTAGAGGCAATTTACAAGATGGTAACGATTCCGGGCTTTCCTTTCATTCTTTGGGTCCTGTATCATTGTTAACACAAAGGTGAACTCTAGGTCGGCTCCATGGTCAAACTCCCCGAAGACGAAGATACGCCCGAGAAGCGAGTACGGAAAATTTTCCGCATGATGGACAAGGATGAGAACGGCAGTCTGGATATGGAAGAGTTCAAAGAGGGAAGCAAACGGGATGAGACGATTGTTTCGGCGTTGTCTTTATACGACGGGCTTGTGTAAATTGTTCAATGTTGCTCTATTTCTTTTTTTTTCGATTGTTCTATTTTCTTATGCTGTTATTTTTTTTTTTTTTTTTTGGTATTCCGGGCGACTGGTATTCTACGAAGGAAGCTCTGCCGTTTGTATGTTTTGCCCAGCTTCTGATCTTTCCTCCCTTCTTACATAGTTTCCTCCTTTGTTTGCGTCCCTACGCTTGCCTGGAGTGGTGGACAGGATACGGTGTATTGGGCTCTGTTGTGAGCTAGAGAGGGAATATTAAGGCGAAAATATGGCTGCCGGGTGTGATTGTGATTCGGGTGTTTTTTTCTTCTTTTTTTTCTTTTTTGTTTATATCCGTACTTTTTGTATGCCTTGTTTATTAGTCGGTTTTTGCTTGACTGGTTTACATAGCCTTGTGAAGTTGCATGTCCAAAACCAAGAGTAAATCCAGCTTTTCTGTTTGAGCGTCCTGATGCCACCATAGTGAGTTGATGTACGAACGTATATGTACATCCTGATGATACGAATAGATCTCAAATCACCCGACAGATCCGTCTTAGACAAGCTTTTAGTGCACATCAGGGATTGATAAAGATCTGACTTGCAGCGCAACTCTCGACTTACACTCTTTCTTACTCGGATTAGTGCCAGCAATGGCATTTGTGAGCAGATGTATCAAGTGGGGCACAGCACTATCCCGAATGACACTGGCAAGTGCTGGCGCTTCCCTTTTTTCTTCTTCTCCTTATGTGAGGTATATTAATCACGACGATGTGCTTCTTTTCTTCTTCTTCTTCTTCTCTTCGGTAGCACTCGGCATGGCATATTTCTGAACTTCTAATACGGGCGTTGGCGATCTTTTGTTTTTGTTTTAGAGTCTGGAGTTTTTTCTTTCTTTCTTTTTTTTTTTTCTCTCGATTGTTTTGTAATATAGCGAAAATCAGACAACAAAAGTCCAAAAATGGCTGATCCTCCTCTGCTGGGACTCATCTCCCGCCTTGAAGATGAAATCCAAGACCCTGATGAAGGTACGTTGTTCTTTTCCCCATCTTTCATATTACGAACACAAATAATAAATCTCTCCATTTTTATTTACCCCCCTTGCTAAGCATTCTCTATGATGTAGAGACATTTCTCCTCTACGCCAACGACATTCCGTCTCAAGGCCTAGGCTTCATCGACTCTCACGCCTCAGTCCTCGACCTCCAACTCAACGGCAGAGATATCACCATCCATCAGTCTCCCGGTGTTTTGGCATCGTCTCGTAAAGGAGGCACGACAGGATCAGGTCAGTTTCAGTTTCCAAGCCATTTGGCCCTGCGTAAATGTATTCTACCTACTCATATATATATACATACATACCTATACATACTCCATCATCCTATGTGTAACAACTCATTTCGTGACACTAACTAACTCACAAACAAACAAAAAGTCCTATGGAAAATCACTCCCGCCTTCGCAGAATGGCTCGCCTCCCCCACAAACATCCTCTTCAACACAATCCTCACGCCCTCATGCTCCGTCATTGAACTCGGCTGCGGAATCTCGCCTCTCAATGCCCTGAGCCTCTCCCAAAAAGTCTCGCGCTACATCCTCACCGACCAGCCTTACGTCCAGAAACTCGTCCTGCAGAATCTCACTGAGAACAAAGTCTCGTCTCCTGCGACAAAAGGCGGAAAGTCCAAGAAGGCGGGCAGCTCTCATAAGTCTCCCAGTCCGCCCTCTCATACAGCCGCGGATATTCATTTCCAAGTCCTCGACTGGGAGACCTCTCAAGTCTCGCCTTCACTCACCAACTCGCCCTCGGCATCCTCCTTCGACGCCCTCATTGCTTGCGACTGTGTCTTCAACTACGCCCTGATCCAGCCTTTCGTTCAGACCTGCGCTGATATCTGCAAACTACGCCAGTCGGACAATCTCCGAGAGGGTGATAAACTCCCGCCGTGTCTATGCATTGTGGCACAACAGCTACGAAACGACGATGTCTTCAACAGCTGGCTGGTTGCCTTCAAAGAGCATTTCCGGGTATGGCGGATACCTGGCGAAATGATGCCAGCAACGCTTCGTCCAGAGGCGGGATTTGTGGTTCACATTGGGATTTTCAAAGATTCGCTCTAAAATACTGGCTATACCTATTACTTCACTTCACTTCATCAAGAAGCATCATGATACATGATTCACAGCTAATATCGGAAAAAGCAAAATAGTACCTTTGAAAATCGAAATGGATCGTGTTTTCAAGCAACTAAGCAAAAACTAAGTAAAGTTCCCTGTCTCATGTATGTGCACACATAGCAAAACAACGCAATTCCTTTTTGATGCATGGCCCTCGGCCGACATGGCTCGCTAAATAGGAGCCCATATCCACTATCCCCTCCTTTTGTCATATCAACCCGCACTGGGCTTTTTAATGATAGACTCGACGTAATTATTCGTCTTTTTAGATATCATAAAACGAGAAAAAGAAGCCAAGAGAGAAATTAAAAGGAGATTTTAGCAAAGGGTAAACAAGAGGGAAAGAGGAAGAAACTAAAAGAGGCACCCAAATCACCACTCCAGCGGCTCCTTCTTCTCTTCTCCACGGTTTGTCTTTGGCACGGGCACCGCCTTGGCAGCCAGGCGACCATCCTTGCCTCTCTTCAGGTAGGCGGTGCCATCCAGCCAAGGGGTGTGAATTGTTCGTCTCTTCTCAAACTCGACAATCTTGTCATTGAGCTGCATTGTCAGACCAATGTCGTCAAAGCCATTAACCAGGCAGTATTTTCGGAACTCCTCAACGTCGAACGCGCAGATGGTTTCGCCGGCTGCGTTCTTGATGAGCTGGTTGGGCAGGTCAATTTCCACTTCCCTTCCGGCGCGACCCTCAGCGGCGATGGCGTCGATGTCGGCCTTGCTGGAGATTTGGATGGGCAGCATGCCGTTCTTGAACATGTTGTTGTTGAAGATGTCGGCAAATGACGGCGCAATGACGGCCTTGATGCCAAAGTCAAGCAGGGCCCAAGGGGCGTGCTCTCGAGATGATCCGCAGCCGAAGTTGGGGCCAGTGCAGACCAAAATCTTGGAGCCCCTGTATGGCTCCTGGTTCAGGACGAAGCTAGGGTTCTCAGCACCGTCAGGAAGGTAGCGCAGGTTGTGGAAGAGAGCTGAGCCCAGCCCGGTACGCTTAATCGTCTTCAGGAACTGCTTAGGAATGATGGCATCAGTGTCGACGTTGGCCAGATCCATAGGAGCTGTAATTCCCTTGAGAGTGAGGAATTTGGGCATGCCAGCAGAATCAGTCTTGGGCACCAGGGTGTTGGTGTGTGGCTGGAGATCCTGTGGCTGGTCTCCGATGACCTCTCGCTCATCAGAATCCTCGACACGCTCATCGATGTGAGGGGCCTCAACGGGGGTGGTGGAAGAAACACGAGCCTGAACGTGAGGGCTGGCAGTGTACTCGGTCAGCTTGCGAATATCAGTAAGCCTGCCCGTAATGGCAGCGGCAGCAGCCATGACAGGAGACATGAGGTGAGTCCGACCACCGGCTCCTTGACGGCCCTCGAAGTTTCGGTTAGAGGTACTGGCGCAGCGTTCTTTAGGCGACAGAATGTCAGGGTTCATGCCGAGACACATACTGCAGCCAGCCTCCCTCCACTCGAATCCGGCGTCAATGAAGACCTGGTCGATGCCCTCGGCCTCGGCCTGCGTCTTGACAAGACCAGAGCCGGGGACCACCATGGCTCGCTTGATGTTGGAGGCAATCTTCTTGCCCTTGACGACGTGGGCCGCAGCTCGCATATCTTCGATTCTCGAGTTGGTACAGGAACCGATAAAGACCTTGTCAACGGCAATCTCCTCCATGGGAGTTCCGGCTGTCAGTCCCATATACTCCAGCATCCTGCGACCAGCTGCCTTCTTGGTCTCGGTGGCGAAGGTCTCTGGGTCAGGGACCTTGCCGGTAATTGGGACAACATCCTCAGGGCTGGTACCCCAAGTGACGGTTGGGATGATGTCTTTGGCATCGATGAAAACGTCGATATCGTACTTGGCGTCCTCATCGGAAGCCAGAGACTTCCAGTAGGCAACAGCTCTGTCCCATTCGTCGGATCCATACTTGGGAGCCAAGGGACGGCCCTTGAGGTATTCAAAGGTGTGCTCGTCAGGGGCTACCATACCGGCACGGGCGCCACCCTCGATGGACATGTTGCAGATGGACATACGGGCCTCCATGCTGAGGGCTCGAATAACGGAGCCGCAGAACTCAATGACAGCGCCGGTACCTCCAGCAGTGCCAATCTTGCCAATGACGTGCAGCACGACGTCCTTGGAGCTGACACCAGGGGCGAGCTCTCCGTCAACCTGAACGCGCATGTTCTTGCTGCGCTTGGTGATTAAGCATTGGGTAGCCAGAACGTGCTCAACCTCACTGGTACCAATGCCAAAAGCGAGGGAGCCAAAGGCACCGTGTGTGGAGGTATGGCTGTCACCGCAGACGACGGTGGTGCCGGGGAGGGTGAAGCCCTGCTCAGGCCCAATGACATGGACAATTCCCTGGCGCTTGTCGCCCAGGCCGAAATATGTCAGACCGAACTCCTTGACGTTCTCTTCGAGGGTAACGCATTGTGTGCGGGAATCATCCTCCTTGATGAAGGTCGCGATGTCCTTGATGCCTTTTCGGGATGTGGTGGGGACATTCTACACGAGGCACTGGTTAGCAACTATGATCGCATCTCCACGATGGATGGCTTGGCAGTTGAGACGTACGTGATCGGTGGTGGCCAGGGTGCAGTCCGGTCTGCGGACTTGGCGGCCGGCAGATTTGAGACCCTCAAATGCTTGCTGTGAAAGACAAGATGTTAGCACGGCACATTGTCAATCGAATAGATTGATCGATGCAGGGCTTAAACATACCGGTGATGTCACTTCATGAACCAAGTGTCTGTCTAATAACCCCCACCATGGTTAGTTCGAAGCCTCACAAAACGCAGTGGCAGCACGGCGCAACGAACCGATGTAGAGGAGGATTGTGCCGTCGAGCTTCTCGTCGACAATGTGGCTCGAGAGCACCTTATCGTAAAGGGTCTGCGGCGTTCCTACTGATACGGGCATTGTGTCGTTGTGTAGAAGGAAGTGAAAAGAAGGGGAGGATCAGGGATGATGGAGAGAAAGAAGAGCGGCCGAAAGACGCTGCAAGTGACGTTTTTTGCTGCACCAAAAGGAGGGGCACGGAAGCTATGGAAGCTGAAGTTGTAAGCAGCGATGGAGCTTAAAGTTGAAGCTGGAATTTTGCAGGCCCTTGCTTCACTCTACCGGTGAATCAATCAACCACCACAGCTCAATTGTCTGCGTGTCTTTTTAATAAAAAGATGAAAAAGTCTGGAGAAATTAAGAAACGAGCGGGGTGCAGAACAGCTGCAAATCTCGTCGCTTTATCTCTATCCATGAGGCCTCGAGAACAGCTCCCAAGTCCGATGTTGACCGGTGGCACGACTCCGATGATCGGAGAGCGCGCCGCATCGCCCCAGCAAAAAGTGCCCTTCTGCCTGTGCAAGCCGAAAAAATACCCAGATGGAGCAGGCGATTGCTAAATGGCCGCTGCTGGTTGGCTGCCGCGAGGGTTGCATGGATTTTCTCCAGAGAGGGGCTGCCTCGATCAGCTGCTGATTGATGCAAGGGATGCCACGATTTTGGAGCAAAAGCCGATCGAAGCGAGCCGGGCGTGTAAGAATTGGTGCTTCATCATGGCGATTCGCAACATTCTGATACTAGCAGCAGCCCATGAGTAGCCCAAACAAGTTAGTGATTACTAGGAACTTATGACGGAGGGCAAGTAGATACGTGTTGGCTCGTGGACGGCCAAAATGTGACTATATTCACATCCTGATACGCAATTATAAGCAGCCCGAGTCAAGTGGGGGAGAAAAAAAAAATACGGACTTGAAAATGAAAATCGGCACATGAATAAGAGCAAGCATACTAGAACTGTGGAGGAAGCGTGTTACGTGATGACATTGGTAGGTATATATTAAAAGAAGTAGAAGCAATAGATGCAGTAGATGCAGTAGAAAACAAGAGAAATGGCATCTACCATGCGCAACTACTCGTGTCTATCGCGGGTATCAACGATATCGCCTCACTTGCCCAACTCCTCCAGCTGAGTCATCAAGATTGTCTGCACAAATCCAGCCGGCTGGCCGTCCTGCGCTTTTTGAACCATTCTCTGATAGTCTGAATGACTTTTCCTGTATTCAGGCACATCTTTATCCAGTTTGGCGAATGGTGCATAAACCCATTGCAAAAGGTTCAAGTCGCTCAATCTTCCATGAGCTAAAGCAAGGTCATGATTCACTGCTGTTTTACAATTTAGTAATTCCCCATCACTGATTCTTCTGCTATTTTTGCTATTGCTGCTACTTCTACTACTGCTGCTACTATCGCTAATTCTCCTACTAAAACATGAGTTCAATGCCCCGTTGTGGAATACGAGTCCCATGGGCGAGTAAGTTCTCTTTATGCATTATTGCTATGACTCAAAGAAGAATTTCTGCCTGTAGTCCAATTTGTTAACGAGTATCTTAACCGCATATAAAAAAAAATACGCAAAATAATAAGCATAGAGTCGTTTTATTAAAAGCCATGTGACTGTGATTTCTCAAAAGACATTCATTGTTGACCTGCCGATGGAAACAATCAGATGCCAAGTTCAAATATAATCAGAGAAAATAAGAAAAAGAGACATTAAAGTGTTCTCCAGAGAAGAAAAGAGGAGCTATATACTCGAAAGGGGGGGTTTGGTTGTGCTTCGCAAGGCCTCAACTTGCAGCCTCCTGGCCCTTCTAGCCGTGGGAAGTATTTCTGGCCTCAGACCTGTGGTCGGGTTTTTTATTCCAAGCCTCTATGAGGTGGAATATTTATTATTTCTGGGGAGAGAAAGCACATTAAGCCATTGCCGTTGGCTATAGGGGGAAAGAAAATGTAGTATAAAAGAAAAAAAAAAGAAAAAAAAAANAAAAAAAAAAGAAAAAAAAAAAGAAAAAAAAACCTTCGGTCTCAGGCCTATTCAAGTACATCATTGGCAGCAGGATAATATAATCTCTGTAGTGATAATGGGCCCACGGGCGGTTACGGCTTTCCGAGCTTCGGTAATGAGGAGAAAGATTTTTATGTGAGGGGGGAATGGCCCATTATATACCGTACTGGCTCATGGTGGATATATCGTATTAAGCCTTTGTGGGATTTCCATGGGGCTCTTCTTTGTGCCAACTCTATTGCATAGAATTGGTGAGTGGATTTTCCAAAAATAGCTGGTCATTGGTACATTTAAGCTAAGTGCTTCTTTGTGGTATCATCTACTACTGGTACCCAGGCGGCTAGAACTCGGTACTATCATTTGAGTGTATAGATTCGGGGCTGTAAACGACTCAGAGCCTTAGATAGGTAGTAGGTAAGGCACTCAAGGAGTGGCACGGAAATTGTACCTTGGGCGTTATCGGGCAATAGCTCGCGGTCAGTATTTGCTCTTAGTGCTCCAGACACCATATCTGACTGTTATTGACTACAGATTTTTAAACAATTTTATGAAAGACTATGCGCTCTGGACCTACTCATCTCTCTTGTTCTGGCGAGAGTCAAAGCAAGGAGCTTTGGAGGCGACTGAGCGAGTCTCGGGAAGCGTCACCAGGCCATCTTAGTGATTTAAACGATGTGGAAAGAGTAATTGACTACGTATTCATCTGACATTGGAAGAATGCAAAACCTAGCGTCCCGAATATTATGTAGGGTATTCGTATGCTCGAAGAGCTTGCTGCCGGCACTTGCTGGCTGTGAGTTCAAACTGGAGGCTAGGGCACCTTAACCTTGATGATGGGAAATGGATATCGAGCGTTTCACCTAGATAGGCCATCGCACTTCATAAATGATTTTTTTATCAGCCAAGTAGCTGCGATGCTGCTATTCATTATTCATTTACATAAACTACTTGACCTGCGGCAACCAAAAGAATCTGAAATCCTTTTGTACCAAATACAGCAAATTAGGGTGTTTAGTTTCTATGCTGGGTAGAAGCTGTATGAATATGCGGTATAAGTAGGGACTTCTGCGAGACTAGCACCTTCGTATAGCATTATATTCGTGTTGTTGCTAGATGTGATCTATCATGATCGTTTTAATACTCCCCAGTTCCTAACTCCATGATCTGTAACTTCTTCTCAATAAGTATGCAAGTATGGCTATGCTTGCATCTTTTATCCGACAGACTGACAGAATATGCACTCCTCTTGCCGTCAGATGAATAATCGAAACTTTATCGCTTGTTGTAGTTTTCCGTGTTGACAAGTTCTTGTTATGATATTGTCAGGAACGTTACAGAGGAGCAAGCCGGTTCTACATATATCTTCTTTAGTCCCTCCTCTCTCTTCCATCATCATCACTCATCATGGATCTCGCCACGCCAGCCTCATACATCTTTTCTGCGTTGTGTCAGTACTGCCTCGTCCGTCCCAGAGTGTTTGTCTTCCCACCCTCAATGTTCTTCCACCATCAGCCCCCCTCCACTGATGCTGATCCGTTGGGTTCCTTCTAGTCCTCGGAGATGTCCCCGGTCTCAGACCTGTTCAGGTGTTTTCATCATTGATGGGGACCATCCGATTCAAGGTGAGGACCCCTGATGATGATTTGTGTGTGTATAATTCCGAGCTTCGGCAATGAGGACGTATCTTTGTTCTGAAGGGAGGTTTGAGCTCTGCTCTCTGGTATTTTGGAATTGTGAGCTTTTTTAGAGGTATTTAGGCGCTTTTCCTAGGGAAGATGATGTAGAATAGATGAGGTAAACGGTATGAATGTAACACAATCTTGGAGTAATCTTGCCTTCCTGATCTCGGACGTCAGATGACTGGCCACAAACTCGCTGAGATTGACAACATGTGGGATGCTGTTAATCTCTTCGAAATGCTAGGTATCTTTCATAGTTTATGGGACAGCATCTTCCTCGCTTGAGCAAGACGCAACGGGGAAATAGGAAGTAGGAACAAAAGGATGAATGAGAAGATGTATTGAGTGAAGGCGTAATACCTTGTACACTTTATGCGCAAGAGGCAGAAATCAAGTTCATAGTGGGGATGCCGTGTTAGGCTCCAAAGACTTGGATACAAGATTCTTCCTCGTGTAAACTCTATGGTGTAGAATTGGTGAGTGGGTTTTCCTAACGGCTGGTCGTGTGTCCAACCCCAACGCTGCTTCGTGAAAGCTAGTAGCCGAAACTTTGTATTAATAGCTGAAAATTCAATCAAGATTTGCCTCCAAGACATTCGGATAAATCTGTTCTCCACCTTCTACTGCGTCAAAGTATCGAGTGGCCAAGAGACTAGGACGCCTCTTCAACAATCTTGCGCGAGCAGTCGCTTTTCCTAGCCTCTCCTACTGGGAGAAGAATCTTGCATAAGAAATACGGGTAGATGTCGGAAATTGTGCATGGATTCTTAGGCATTCCAAAGAGACAGCCTCTCTAGTTAGTGATTAGCAACATGCGTAAAATGCGGATGAATGTATCGGCAAGGATGGTCGAGCTGATGCGAGATATTTCATCCAACCTGACCTGAGTTGGATGGATATCGCTATACAATTGCTCAACGCAGGTCTCGGAATTCTGCGCTCCACTTTGAACTACCGTTTTTGCCTTTTTGTATGGCGAGGGGATAGTTTTGGTGTTGTATGCAAGTCGCCATAAGGCTCTCTGCTTCGTATACACCGCGCCATCCATGGACCAGCCATTTTTAGAAAAAATTGTGTGTCAATTATTGGATATCGAGCAGCACCTTTTCCTACGCACAGCCTTGCCATTGTGTTTTACAGCAAGCTGACACAATCCTTCACCGTCAAGCGCGCCTGGGTCCTGCTGCATGGCCGAAAAAGCCTTTGTCACACAATCAGGCTGTAGACAATGGCTCGTCGGAATCTGCCTTGCTATCCGCACCAAAGCCAAGTTCTATCTCAGTGAAACCCCTTCTGAAACCTCTCTCCAGAAAACCTCATTATGCAACTGGGATGTTTTGGGCTCCGATTTCAACGGCCTTCCCAGGTTACTCCCGACTGTGATGTGATGAGCGTGATATACGACCGTGATCCCTGCGGACTGGAAGTACGACCACCTGAAGATGGGCTGGAGGTATGGGCACCAGACGTTGGAGGGCTGCAAGTCTCAACCAGAGTGCAGGTCGAACAGGCGTTGGAAGCATTTCGCGGCTGCGACGATCTGGAGGCCGTAAACCCCAGCTCAAGCGGCATTGCCAGGGTCAATACCGAGAGCTTCATCGAAGAAATTGAGCAAAAACAAAGCCCACCAAACAAGAAGCCATGGCTCATCCTCGTCCTAGCGGGCGTTGCTCTGCTCTTTGTAATCGTGGCCGCTGTCCTCGGCGTCGTTGTTGGATTGCGCCTCAACAACAACAGCAACAACAACAACGACAACAACAAAACGACTCCCGCAGAATCACCACAAGCCTCCTCCACCACCACGCCGCCAATTTCTCCTTCAAAACCGGCCAATGCCGTCCACGCAGGCTCAGGCATTGGCATCACCGGCTGGTGGACAGGCCCGTCAAGCTTCACCATCCGCCTCGTCTACCAGGGGCAAGACGGCTACCTGCGTCTGATGCGGTACCACTCCGGCGACGGCAAATGGTCCACGCTGGCCATCTTTTCAGACGCAAGAGCTAAGCTGGGCACCCCAATTGCAGCATCGTGCTACAACATTCCATACTATTGCTTCAGCCCGATAACGAGCAGTGATGTGAGCCCTTGTTTTTTATTCCCACAATTCTGCACAAAGCTGCCACTAACACGGGGGGGGAGCGCCGCGCTTCAATCTCACGCTTTTAGAACTTCACACAGGTCGAAATCTTCTATCTCAACGACCAAAACATGATCCAGGAGTGGTACTTCCGCGAACAAGACTCAGCCTCGCCGTCAGCACAAACCTTTTCCGGCAGCGGACCCATGTCCCCCAATGGGTGGAAGGTAGCGGCGAACACGCGCATCGCGGCATACTGGCCCAGCGTGATATTCCAAGACGAACGCAACCAGATGCAGGAAGCGTACGACGCCAACCTGACCTGGGTGCAGAGCTCCGTGGGTCTCCAATGCCAAAACGGATCGTCCTTTGCAGAAGTGCCTTATTCGGTGAACGCGGGGAGGTTCGGAGGCGACAAGATTCTCTATCAGCGGGATGACCAGAAGCTCATTCTCCAGGAGAGAACTAACTTGACCAATAAGTTGAATGTTGGTGAGTCTTCTTAATTCTCAATTATAATCCCTAAATCCATGAGAGGCATTCATATTCATGGCCAAAAACATTGTTAGGCGCACCACCCATCATTCTTCCAGCCAACGGGGCCATGGGAGCGTTTACCATTCCCCGATACTCGAATTCAACCGACGGCGCCATGAACACCTACATCCTGTGGCAAGACAGCTCAGATGCCCTGCAAATGACCTGGGAGGATGACGACACTGGATGGCGAACCTCATCGACGCCTGCCTCGCTAGGCAAACCCGACAATGGCACGGGCATATCTTGCCTCACGGCGACGCTCTGGACCGTCGCCTCATTGCCGTCAGACTACAGTACGGCTCGCTGTTATTACTTGGTAAATGGGCAGATACGAGAAGTGCAGTATGATGGCTCAAATTGGCTGGTGATTGGAAATGTGCAGTTGGATTGAATCCTTTAGGGGGATTTTTTATATAGACGCATGGTAATTGGTAACTTGTAGTATTGATAGAGCTGGGGTCTAAAGAACGTTGAGTTAGTTAATAACTAAATAGATAATGAGAATGCGGCGTGAATAGTTTTGCATGAGTTGACCAGATGACCTAGGCAAAGAGAAAATAGAAGATTATCGGGCCATCAAGCCTAGTTTATGGAAATATCAATACTAGTACTACCTATAGCCTAAGACATAACACACAACGCTCGCGACTCCTGTTGATACTCTCCTAATAACTCAGCAACAATTTATCTAATCCAACCAGTTTATTCCACAACCCTCATACCTCCACGCATCAATCAACCCACAACCGTCTCTAGATCCAAATCGCCGCTCCATCATCTGCATAGTCCAAGAGCCAGGCTACCAACCTCACAATCCTCATACCCTGCACAATGGCCACAAATCCAACTGTCACTACCGGTGCTGCAAGCACAATCAACAGGCAGGCCTTCCAGAAGGGCATTGGTCCGTCATGCTCGACTTGCAATGTTCGAGGATCAAGCATGGGCCAGACGGTTGACCAGTAGAGCTTGGCTAGACCTTTTATGCAGTACAGAAAAAACTGCAGCCCAGTAGACTCCTTTTGATTTTGGCGCCGATACTCCTCCCATTCGGTAAATAACTTCCACTCGCCGCAGCCCCCTTCCGTCAGTAGCTTTACCTCGGGGCAGCTATCTTGGAAATGTTCCCACTCATCTAAAAGACTTGCGATGTCGTCGCTGCCTTCTTCCTCTGGAAAAGTCCAAGGATTCTCCTCCACCATCTGTGTTTGGCGCTCTGCCGGGCTCGGCGCTCTGTTCAGGTCTAATTGTTGCGTCATCTGCTTTGTATTCGATAGTTTCCATTGGTTCGTAGCTATTATTGTTTGGTCCTGTGTAAATGTTGACCTGGGCGACGAGCTGTCCTCCCGTGCTGGCATAAATGCTTCTGATATGAGGAAGCGTGTGCCTCGCAAGTGCGCCCTCTCCTCTTGCGCCATGTGAGCCTCCTGCTTCATAGATGTGGTGTCTGCTAGTAGTTCTACTAGCAGCTCGTCCCCTTCCACTGAACTTTGACTCTGCGCGGAACTCGTGGATATCTCTGTGTGGGACTTGTCCGAGTTGCTCCTCGATAAGCCTACGGTTGGCGAGCTGGAGCTGAATTCGCCCGGTCGGACTACCATATGTGAGAGATGATGTTCCAACGGCTCTTTCTGGTTCCACTCCTTCTGGCGAGAGGCTGAGGGAGACGTTTGATGGTCGCAGCCAGTAGTGGTGGTGATGGGTATGTAAACAAGGTCCCTGATCTCGTCGATTTTGCCCGCGATTTCGCCCAACATGCGATTGACTGGCTTCTGTTCTGTCTTGGTTTGGTGCAGACGGTGAGAGAGCTCTTTCCGCTGTTGATTGTTTAAAATTGTTACTTGATCTCGTAATTTCTGCATGTCCTGTTTTATCTCCTCTGGGGCGAGTAGTGACTGAGGGCTGGGTGAACCCGCGGAATGTCTTGTGGTAACTGGTTTCGCCTGCAGCAAGCCGGTCGCTTCGTCTATGCTCTTTACTGCGTTGATTCCTATTGTCTGTACCTTGTTCAGGTTCGAGGGACCCTTTGGACGCCTTTTCTTGGCTCTTGTCGGACTGTCTCTATACCGTAGACGAGAGATGGCCCCCAACGGGCTTTCTTCGAACAGGCTCAAAGGGATTGGTTCTCGAAGAGGTGTCAGAGAAAGATCCAAATTGGATAATTTGATGCCTTTGATCCCTCTGAGGCCAATATTTCCCTCTATTTTCTGGTGGAAAGCTGGGATCGATTGGGTAAATTGGCATACCGAAAGGGTCATCATGCTCGCCCCCGCGCAAGGCTTGCCGATTTCCCTCTCGGCCACCATGTCTAAAAAAGGCGTCTTCATGGACTGACTCATAGCTTTGGAGCTGGTCTGGGAATTAGAATCGTCAAAGTTCACGCCACCCTTGTGCAGATCCTATGATGCGAGAGCCGGGTTTGCAATGCTTTGTCGACGAGGGGTTCGAATAACCGTAGAGTTGGACGAGGTACGAGTTAAAGGGTCTGGGTCTGCGTTTGAGGCTGTATCTGGCAAGGTAGCTTCAGTATGACTGATAGGCTCATTCACGAAAGTAAGAGTATCGTTTGGAAGGCTGAAATTAGGCTGCGTTTCTTCGAGGGAGAGATTTTGGACTGATTGTTGGAGGCCTTGGGCGTGTGAGGGTCTTCCTATCAACCAAGTAGTGTCAGAAACTTTTTTGGTGTAACAAGAGATGCAATAAACCAAACTATATAGTGAGAAGAGCTTACGAGAATTAGGAGATGCACTGATGGGGCTCAAATTTGGCTCCTGCAGCGATGACCACTCGCCCGCAAGTCTTTTCCATCTAACGGCTTTGCCCACGTCTTTCGCCCTCTTCCTCTCCTTCCGCAGCCCAGAAAGCTTGGAGTCGTTACCTTCGATATGCTTGCCTTTACTTGGGGAATCTCTCGTCATATGATACCTGCTGCTTTTCCACCTGTCTCGCAGTGTACTCATAACGCTGTGTACGGTCTCCTGGTGGCTTATCGTGCTTATAGGGCTGCTGTCGGTAGGGGACATAGCATCCAGCTCTCCAGTATGAGGGTTGACTCCTTGCACCCCTAAGAAGTCGCCGCTTTCCCTCAAGCTCTGACGCTGACGCCGCCGAGCCTTTCTTGCTCTGAGTGCGTCGCGTCTCTGGAGCTGTTTCTTGTGTTTCGCAGTCTCAGAATCCAAGCTTAAACTTCCAGTCTCGGTGGTTTTGATATCCCTTGTTAGCAGGTTATTGTTTCCATTCCAGCCATCGCTCGGCAACACACCCCCCAGTTTCGCCACAGAGATTTGATCCCCAGAGCCCCTTTGCGGACTCCAGCTCCAGCTTCGGTTCTTTTGTGTGGTAATTGGAGGCAAAGAAGATCCTGGTTTGGCTGGTACAGCACCCTGCCGCGGCGGCAATAAACGTGGCTGCTCTTTCGGGATATCCTTTGGCACATTCCAGCGAGCTATATGGCTCGAGTCTGCCGATACATCGCCCATGCTGTACTGGCTATCCGTCATGCGACGTCGTGGCCAGACTTTCCCCTCAACCTCCATCTGCTCCCAATAGCCTTGCTCCCTGCTCGTCCCGCCGCGTTCTGGGCGCCGGCTAGGAATCATCATTTTCTTCATCCATCCTCGAGAGGCGGATTGTGGGCTCTCGGTCTGCGTCCTTCTGATGGGCTGATTCTTCTTGGGCAGTGCTAGAGATGTTGTCTGCCGAGGGGCAACGTCTGAAACTTTGGGAGGCAGGAAATAAGACATTTCAACGAGATAGAAAGTGAGTGTTACAAGTACAGTTAAAGAAACGAAAGGAACCACCGGTCTCTGAATCCAATAGTTGAGGATCCGTGGGCGTGAGAATGTTGCGAGAGTCTCATCGTTCTTCGACGAGGGCCGAAGAAGGACAAGAGTGGTAAATATATAACGCGAGAGCGCCATAATGTTCGGTCCAAGCCTAAAAGTTTGGGGGGGATCAAAACATCTCTAAAGCAGCTCCTCGACGAATGGCGAGGGGCTGATGGCCAGCTGCCTGGGCAAGAAGCCGGCATAATGACATTAGCATTCGTGCTTGCATTCTGTACTGCATTCACACATCAAGGGGAAGTAGCGACAACTGATTAAAATCATGACCCGAACTCAATCTTTTGCGGTACTTTTGTCATTGATAAATCGTAATTGACGCTGAGTAATTTCCACTTTGGTTTCCAACCAAGAACATTCATATCACATAGAGGCTACTCACTCAGCCAACTTCCAAACCGTACTGTTCATATACACATATTTCCATTAGCCGCCACAGAAAAAGACATTGATAAAAAAAAACATAATCCTAACGCCGACAATATGCTATGCTATACTGAATCCAAGCACAGAGGATATTACCACTTAGTTTCAAATAATACATTGTGCTGCATAAATATGACCATCCGTTGTGGCAATAGCGCCAGGGCTTTGATGGAGTTTTGGGAGAACGAAAGATAAAACAAATCACCATCTAATGGATCTGTCTTGCTGTGTTCTGCTTCTGGATGTTCCTGAATATGGGTTGGATGCGCTTTTGCTGGTAGTGCTCGCCGAACGGAGTGCATCGGCTTGTCTCTGCTGCTCCAGTGCTGCCATCTCGCGTGAGTTTCGAGGCGATGCTGGCTCGTTAAAGCTGCCAAGGTCCATAGTTTTCTTTAGAGGCGACTTGTTGTGGCTGTAGATTCCCATATTGCCTCCATAATTGGCAGTGTTTGCAGATGTAGCTGAGAGTGGCATAGGTGAGGGTGCTGTGCCAGTGGCCTGGTCAGCCGCCATAAATTGTTTAAACGTCGAGCGAGGTTGGTCCACGTTGGTAGGAGTGCCTTCTGGTTGCCTTGTAGCAATAGGATTGATCATCTGCGGCCTCATGAAATGGCTGTGACCAGAGGACAGGGTGTTATCATGCCCGGCCTGAGATGTGCCTCGTGTGACGTAAGACTTCCTGATGAGCGTTGTCGGTGTGCCGACCTGCACAAACCCACGGCCTTTGGGGGAGTGCTCTGCTGCGATCTGAGTTCCGACGTCTCTGACGACGGGATTTAGCCGAGGATGGACAAACTTGGTGTTGTACTCGTTCATAACCTCCTTCTGGATGAGGGCGTTATCCTTGGCTTGCTGTGCAAATCGCGACGAGAGGAACAGCATCTGACCGGAGAGAACCATTTGCATCACAATGGCATTGAATACAGTCACACTCGGCTGAGGATCCAGTGGCGCCAACGGAAGGGCGAGGAGATAGGCCAATACGTGTCCCGGGCTGAACAAACAAACTAGCCTTAGAGATATAGGCAAAGGATCCCAAACGGCGAGTTCCCACACATCTCTTTTCTTATCCGGATGTGATCGTGATTCAGCCGAGCCCGGTGCAATCTTGTCGGCGAGGTATCGAAGCGGTGAGGCGGACGTCACGGGGGAAGACTGAACCTGAACTCGCCGCGCGGAGGGCGTGGATAGAGGCTCTTCGATGTTGGCCTGGAACAGTCGGTATTTTCGCGTTCGCGTGTAGGTGTAAGCCGCGTTGATGCAAGAGAAGAGCGCGAGGCCCCAGACAATGAGATAGGCCTTGGTCGAGGCAGTTAGCTCAGAAAGCGCGACAAGTTGCGATGCCTTGAAGAGCAATACTCACCACATACGAAAACCATCCTATCTTGGTCTCGTCACCGAAGATGTCGTCGTCCGTCGAAGACGTCAACCCAACGTTTGCCCGCGCCAGCAAAAAAAGAATATTCATAGCCACGCCCAGCTGCGTGCCCACCAGCTTCGAGTCCCAATCTCTCGTCTCCAGCTCTTCCGACAGCCAGAGAAGGAAGTCCATGGGATTCAGATTCGACGTGATGCGCTCCCAGAGCGGTCTCCGCCGCACGAGTCTGGGCATCTTGAACAGCGAGGCAATTGTAAAAAGTCTCGCGCACTCGGTTAATAGGAGGCGACGAAGATTTTGCAATCTGCTCGTGCCGCAGGAAAAAGGGAAAAAGCCACTGATTGGTGGTTGAAGGCAAAAAGTAAGAAAAGAGAAGTGTCGGCCTGGCAGCGAATTGTTTACTTTGGAGGAGCTCCCGCTGCTGGCACATTTCCGGTCGCAGTCTAGCGCGCAAGTCCACAGCAAGGGGTGGCCCCAGTGACATCTGTAGAGGTACATGGCCATCAAGTCATTGATCTTACCAAAGGTGTCCTTCAATGAAGGCCGAGCGTCTGGGATGAAGGTCTCGTTTAAGTCATCTATACTGGATCGGGATTATAAAATTTGCTCAAGTACTATATTAACTTGAGTCTTTAAATGGGTTCTCGATTTTAATGCCATTTTTTTTAGACATTCAAGGGATCGGCTGCGGTTTATACGGTGCGTCCCAATATCGCAGCAGCGCATCCGTCGGCACTACTTGTACCTCCGGCGATACCTCCCGCAAAAGTACAGCCGTCTCCCTCAGCCGCCTTTGCGCGGGGCCACCCCAGTGATGGCCTGAAGGCAGCTAAACTGGAAGCTTCGCATAATCCACGACTCTCCGTCTGCATCAAACCCAGAACTGCCCATTGCCCGCCGTCACGATGACATCGCAGGCCGACTTCAAGGACCGGCAATTCCTTGCCGTAATCGGCGATGAGGCAAGTCGCTCTCTCGGGGCAAAACGCGCACCCAGTCTCCGAGATGGAAGATCGCATTGGTTCTAACAGATGTATACGCATAGGACTCTGTAACGGGCCTCTTGCTCGCAGGCATCGGAGTAAGTAGGAAGGAAAACCGCGCGTCCTTTGTTCCCTCGAAATCGTGATGAGAGTGTCGTCGCCGAAATAATCATTCAACCTATCTCACGCTTGTGTATAGCATATCACCACCGGCGCCGAAGCACAAAAGAACTTTCTCGTGGTCGACAGTAAGACAGAAACTGCGGCCATCGAAGCTGCATTTGAGAGCTTTACAGAGAGGAAAGACATTGGAATCGTCTTGATCAACCAGCATGTCAGTTTATCTTGGCATAGCCCTTTAGCCCTTCCTACGATGTACATGCTAACGACCAAATGTCCAGGTCGCCGACAGGATACGACACCGAGTCGACACCTACACCGCTGCCTTTCCTACGGTCCTCGAAATTCCGAGCAAAGATCATCCATACGACCCGGAGAAGGACAGTGTGTTGAGGCGAGTGCGCCGCCTATTCGGAGAGTAAATATTTCGGGGTACATGCAGAGTTATTCCATCTGAAAGGAGAAGAGAAATGTATGAAACGCTGAGGTCTTTTATGATCTTTGACACTACGAAGCGAGTACATAATAGCATAATTGTCAAAGAGTACAGGTGTATACTGGTTTATTAGAGATATTACGAATGCATTCTCTAGTAGCAGCAAAAGCGCTACAGCCATCACCGTGTGCCTATGAACCTGATCGAATATAATCCCGAGAGTACAGCAAAACTCGCCCAGAGCAGGGGAAAGACAACCTTAAACAATGCCATTAAAAATTCACACAACAATCAAACAAAGACCCGGATTATGCCCATGATCGCCAATTCTTCCGCAATTAAGCCTCTTAATAGCGAGCAAAAAATTACAATTCCTCAGCATCTTCGAACGAAGAGAGGCCTGGTCGGGGGAAGTTGACGGTAGCCTTGAGGCAGGTGATCGGCTCGTCATCATTAGAGTAGACATCAGCGAGGACGCTGTAGGTTCCCTGTTTACATCTGTAAGCATACATCCATCTGTTTTAACGTTAGATGGGCGTCATATCATACCGGAGGGATGGCAGAAGGCAGGTCGACGCTCTTGGTGATTGTCATGTTGCCAGGCTCGAGAGGGCAAGAAAGGTCGACATTGTCGAGCTGTTCACACAGGTCTGCAGTGGTGGAAAGCAGTTGAATAAGGCCGTACTTGACAACCAATTTGACGTAGGCGCCTGATTCGACAGTCTTCTTGACCTCGCCGCTGGCTGTGATGAGGAGGGGTTTGCCACTATCAAGAGCCATTAGCAAGCCAAGTTAGCCCGGATGATTGTTGGGGGGACTCTTACGCCTTGGGAGGATTGGGAGCCAGGTCGACTTTGTCGATGACGATGAGGTTGTCATCACGGTTGGCGTTGCAGAACTCGATGGGGTTTTCTCCAGGGACCTTGAGATTGCTGTCGAATGCGTAGGCGGAATCGCCCCAGATTGCGAGGGCCGTCGCCGGAGCGGCGAGGCAGGTAGACAAGCAGGCGACGGCAGTGGAGAAACGCATCGTTAACTATGGTCAATACAATACGGCTGGAGTAGGATGGAATAGAGGAGCGCGCAGGAAGAAGACAGAGCAGAAGGGAGAGATGCGGCTGTTCTATGATGAAGAGACAGGCGACCGCAAACCACAGGCTGAGACAATATTAGTTAGATGGACAGTAATAAAGGGCAGAGGTGAGGCTTGCGCTGCTGCCGCCGGATGGAGCACCATGTACAGTGACGACTGCAACGGCGAATCACAAATGTCACGGGACGCCTTAGCCGTGCTACGCCTCTGCGGTGGTTGGTGCGTCATGAGACACATCTGGGGCTACCATTGGCCAGATTCAGAGCGAGTCTCCACTTGCCATGGCCAAGATAACGCTGGGGTAGCGCTGATTCTCCTTGCATGCGCTCTGCCCGGTACAGGTACAAGTACGAACAAGGTGAAAGACGGAGGAGTCCGTTGCTTGCACAAAGGGCGAGTAGTGTGGCGCCACTCTATCTAGAGTCGCTACTGCTCGTACTCGTACAAGCAAGGCGACACTAACACAATCGCAGCGTCTTTCCAGGCATTTGGCGTCTGTCTTCCCTTGTACAAATCTAAAGAGAATCAAACAATCATTTGGGGGTTTTTTTTTTCTTTTTTTTCTTGTATCTCTTTCCAAGTTGAAGAAGTGCAACTGCATTCCTTGTTTTATTCCTTTCACCGTTTCTTTACCGCTATTTTATTGCTTTTCCGCCCCCTTCGCTTCTTTGCATGAGGGCGTTCTGCAAGCGAGGGCGCGCGCCTGCACTGGCTTTGGCTCCAACAACTTTTTTTTAGGCGTGTGCTCCTCAGGCATCGACTTTCTAGGCAGCGAAGCTGGTGGGGCGGGTGGCGCACGGGCCAGATGCATTTCTATAAATGTAGCGCCAGCAGGCCGCGTTTTTAGATCTTTTTTTTCTCTTTTCTTTTCTTCATACTTACCTTGTTTCAGTACTCCGAGATCAAGAATTCGGAGTACTAGTGTAGGAGGCCTGCATTGCACATCGCGGAGTCATCCTGTGCTCAATTGTCCTTCGGGGCCATTGGAGGCGGAATTTTTGATCTATTTACCACGTGCTTTCATTGTGAGCGCAGGCTTGGACTGTGGCACGAAGAAGGCTTTAATGAGGGCGAGTAGGCCGGGAGTTAGGATCGGTAGCACTAAACGGGCTGGGCTGGGGCGAGTGGCACAGGCGTAATCGAGTAGAGCGTACTAAGTGTCATTTTGGTGCAAGAAGCAATGGAATTCTTGTCGTGGTAGTGTATATTGTACGACTCATTGGAAGATACACGCAAAAAATGGAAGGAGATTGATGGTACCAGTAGTCATTGATGAAATCCACGGCTGTAATGGTGCTCTGGGCGGCCATCGTAAGCCCCTGTGGCCTGGCGCGTCGTCAAAACATTGTTGAACTCGTAAGCCCAAATTAAGCAACAATAACAAATGATAAACAGCAAAAGTCGGTTTCTGGGACAAAAACACCCCGACGACGGCCATGCTAAGGTTTAGCTGGCAGCTAAGGTTTTAACCCACTTATCAAACGGCTCGCGCTGACAGCCTCATTGGCCACAGGCAGCTTCCAACCCCCCCAGTTCATAATGAAGCGACGCGATTCGCGCGCCGGTGCAGTGCACAGGTCCGCCGCTACGCTCGGCTTTGTGCGACTGGCCAATCAGGCGCCGGCGACAGGAGGGCTAAAAGTGCCTGGGACGATGTCGCGACGCAAGGCTTGACTGTGTCGAGAGACGAGAGCGCGCGGGTGGCATTTTGCAAAGGGGAATCCCTGCTGTGGCAGCTGCAGGTATGGCCCCCGCTTGGGTTGGGGAGAGCTTTGGATTGCGTCTTCTTCAATCGCCCTTTTGGGAACAACTTCTTACTCTACTGATGTTGGATGTTGTGATGAGAGACCCTAACATTGCTGCTACATGGCAGCGCCAGTACGAACACGAGTGCTTCAGAGGGTAGTACTAGCAGCCTGGCGCTACTTGTACATTTTGCTCCGTGAAGGAGGGAGACCGTCTCCTCGATCCGTCGTTCTAATCTCGAACGTGCTAGGGAGAGCTGCAGCGAATAGGGGCCCGCTGAAACATCGTCCAGGGCCTTGATGTTCGTACGGGATCCGGAGCAAGCAGCCCTACAAAACTCGAGGTTTATCCGTAGTCCATGCACCTGCTGTAGGAGCCGGAGCAGCTGCTCGTAACGGCCACTGTAGAAAATGCATCCAAATGGAGTAATATACATCGTCCTGAGCAGCGAATGCTGCTGGCGTGCCATTTTCACGCCACGCTCCTCGTTCCGCCCATGTTAAATTAATCAATTTGGGCCAAATTTGTCCCCGTCATAATGTGCCAACTACTAGGTTAGGTAGGTAATGTGTGTTGGCTAAATTCGCACCGCTCTGCTCCATGCCATCTGCTGTAACCACTCCATCCGCACCACTCAAATCTCGGCCCCCGCGTGCGAAGCGGCACGCCAAAAGTTTCAGGAAGTGAGGCGGGCAGCGCAGCGCAGGCCGTGGCTGGTTCAGCGCTCTAGCATCGTCTGTGACGCCAGCGGCCATCTTTTGTTGCCTGGGGATAGGGACTGGGCGCTAAACTCAGCAATAAGGCATCATCCTAAAAACAACTCTTGCTGGCAAGCTGGAGCTCACTTACGATTCAGTTCACACTGTCAAAGAAGATGCAAACCAGATGAACGACTTGCGGGTTATCAAGCGAAAATAGTCTTCTATCCTCCATGCCCTTTTCTCCTTCTCATTCTTTCTACGGTCCTGCTTTTACATCTTTTCCCCCCCAAACTGCGGCTGACCGCTGCCTTACCAGCCGCATAATGGCCTCTACCAGCAGTATCAGCATCAGGCTACCTCTGTCGTATAGCTACGGCTGAATCCTACTTCTGCGGCCGCCATTCGCATCTACAGTCCATCGAAAAGCGACCATCACCATCTCCATCCCGTGCAACGCTGCATGAGAGGCGGTCCATGGACCTCGCTCAAAATGCCCGCAACCAGCCAGCCGTGAGTTGCTCTTCTCTCACTTCTGGTGTTCGCGGGATCATTCACCCGCCCTGTCTCGCCCCTCGCCTCACTCAGCAGAGCATGGAGTGATGTGTGGTATTGGCCAAGGCCCCCAAACCCCCTTTGGGATCTCACATGCCGATTAACCCCATACAGCGCACGCATACGCAGATACATACACGCATCGTTGAGATTACACGTACTGCTGGTGCTGGTGCTGGTGCTGATGCCGCCGCCGCTCTATTTCCCTATGCATCGATGCCAATGCCGTACCCAGACCATCATGGCATTGCATCAGTTACCCACCAGGTTTACCCACACACAAACCGGCTGCATCTGCACGCGCATACAAACTACCCAACATGCCTGCACGCTCTTCTCTTTCTCTCGCATTCTCGTCCTCGCTCTCTTTGCATGTGCTGCCCCTTCCCCTCTCTCTCGCACCCGCCGTCAGCTGCCGTCCGTCGCCGTTCATCTGCCCCCCTCGGCCCTCTCCTGCTCGCCTGCATCGCATCCCTCCGCACATCAAGCTGGAGAGCCTCGCCCGCTGGACACCGAAGATGCGCGCACTGCAAGACGGCCGTCGCCTCGGGCAGCGACAGCGCTGCGAACGGCGCAGGTGCTGCTAGGTGCCCGATACATGTACCTTGCCTGCCACTCGCTGGTACTTGGGTACATGCCACCACTGCCTCCATCCGCACCCCCCCGTCTCGCTCTTATTGTTTTGCTTTTTCGCCCTTCCGGCGCCCACCAGAAAGCAGCCCATACGAGCAACCAGCACAGGTACCGGCTGGGTACTCGTACACCCACGGCCCCAGTGCATGGATGGGCCTGGGACGCACACTAAAGTCGCTATCCCACCGCCCATTCGCCGTTGGGCCTAGCGCCCCGGGCCCTCTGTCGCCTGCTGAGATGCGTGCCGCCCTCAGCAAAGTTGCAGCACAGCACGCACAGCACTAACGCCAGACACTAACAGCGTGCTCGACGGCTCTAGTGCCGGACTGGAACCCCCTCAGACGTCCAGAGCACTTGGCCGCTGGCCCCGGAATCTCGACGCCGGATTGGCCTGCGCCGCTGCGGCTGGGCTGGGCTTGGACGCTGGCGACGCTGCATGATTGGACACCCTGGCCGGTACGTACTGCGACCAAAGGGTGCCGCCGCACTCGTCGCTCGCGCTGCAAGCAAAGACACCCTCTCAGGTTCTGTCGCTCCTCCCCATCCTCCTCTCCTCCTCCATCCCCGTTGCCGGTGCCAGCTCTCGACGATTTGCCCTCGCCGTCCGATTAATCCTGAGGCCTGCTGAGATCCGCCGTCGCCGTCCTCTGCCGCCTCTGCTCTCCTTTTCTTTCCCACAGCCGCTTTTTTCCCCCGTTCATCCCACTCTTCGCTCGTCCGCCGGCTTGCTCACGACGCCTTCCGCCAGCAATCCAGTCGCCTCCCGTCCGCTCGTGTTCGAATTTTTTCACGGCCGAGGCGAGAAACATTTCACGCCCTTCAGTCTCCGGCCATCACCCTCGACGCGTATGAAAAACGCCCACAGCCGTTCTCGTGATTCTCGCCTTGTCTTCAATCCCGTCCTCGCCTTTTTTCCCACTAACGCCTGAACGCCCAGCCCTCTGTCTCCTCGAGCCAATCTCCAAGCAACCAGCCTCGGATTGCACAGACATCGCCTGCCGCCTGTCTAGGTCTCGACTGCGATATCCCTTCCGCACCGGCGTATGACGCGGCCGGTCGCGATCTCCAGCCGCTCTACGCCCCAACCGTCCCATTTGGCGCGCGTCCTGACCGGCGCCGTCATGCTCCCAAGACCGCGACAATAATCAATCCACGCATTTCCTGCGACATCCGTTACCCTGCGTGGTCCTCCTTTGGACTATGACAGACAAGCCATCTCCGCTGTCGACGCAAGCCGCTGTCTCCAGTCAGGCCAACCACCTCGCGCCCGTGGGCCCAACCGCTCCCGATCATGTCGCTCACAAGATCGAGGCGCCAGAGGAAGAGCCGTACACCATAAAGTGTATATGCAACTTCTCCGACGACGATGGAAACACAATATACTGCGAGACGTGCGACACGTGGCAGCACATCGACTGCTTCTACCCCGAGAACAGGGAGGAGGCCATTCGGGAGGACTTTTCTCATTCCTGTGCCGACTGCCAGCCCCGACCGCTGAATCGCCAAAAGGCCATTGAACGCACCCTGCGGCTGAGGAGTTCAATCTTGGAGCCGGAGAGCATCGACAAAAAATCGAAGCGACCTCCTTCTAAGAGCCACAAGAAGAAGAAGCTCAGCGATGCTCATTTCAATGGAAATCACGGGCCTTTGGAAGGCGGCAAGCACGGCCACAATGCCGACCACCACCCTGCTCCCGCCAAAAAATCAAAAACCTCTCATCGACCCTCCTTGTCTGTGAGCTCCCAGCCTTCCAAGCGAAGCCCTTCTTATGGAAACAACCGGACGAACCCCACACATCCACCGAGCCCTGCCACCACTCCTCCCGACCTCCCTGACGATTTTCAAATTCACCACTACTCTGAGGGCTTCTGCTCTCTCTACAACGACGTACCCGACATACAAAACAATGGCTTTGCCAGTCTCGCCATTCCTACCGCCTTGATGCGATGGCTGGATTCGTCTTCTGCGCTGGAAAAGGAAGTTGGCCGAAGACGCTCCGAAATCTTCCAAGATGCGCTGCCTGCACTTGAGAGAAAACGTCCAAAGCTCGAAGTAAAGGATGCCACTCAGTCGCTTGACAACGGCACTATGCTCCGATGGCGCTCTCTCAAGTCTACATCCTCGATCGAAAAGGATGTGCCTCTCATCGAATTGAATGGTGAGATTGGCTTTCAAAAGGATTACTGCGCCGAAGGCGATAATCTATGGGCCGATCTCTCATCACCCCTCCCTTTTGTCTTCTTTCACCCCATTCTACCGCTTTACATTGACACGAGGAAAGAGGGCTCCATAGCCCGCTTTGCTCGACGGAGCTGCAAGCCAAACGCTCAACTAGACACTTTCCTCACCGATGGATCAGAGTACCATTTCTGGCTGGTCAGCGACCGGTACATACCCCCCAACGAGCAGATCACCCTGCCGTGGGACTTTCGTCTAGAGAAAAGCGTCTGCCAGCGCTGGCTACATCTGCTGGGCCTCAGCGATGATGATAGCGCGGTGCAGGACGAGTTTGAGCTAGACGAATCCGAGTACACGGCCATCTCTAACTGGATTGACCGGATACTGTCTGAATATGGAGGCTGTGCGTGCGATCAGGATAATAACTGTGCCTTCGCCCGATTCCATCGACACTATCTCTACGGCAAGAGCCAATCTCGCAATAAGAAAAGGTCGCGCAAAACAAAGGCTCATACCATCTCGCCCACCAGCACAGGCCATGCCACAAATAGCCGTGCCGCTAGTGAAGGTCACCTCGACGACCAGGCCGACCGCGAAGGCCGAGACGGATCGGTTGCAGCGCGGAGTAAGCCCTCCAGCAGGGATAGGACTCCGCTGCGTCAAGGCTCCTTTGATCAACTAGGAATATTGACGGAGCCTACAGATCGCGATAAGCGCAAGGTAGCGATGGTAGAAGACTCCTTCCGGCGTATGGAGCAGGAACAGCAGCAACCGCCAAGGAAGAAGAAGAGGCTATCAGACGGAACTACTGCGTCGACTTCTTCCAAAGCGAAATCAAGGACTGGCTCTACCCCCCATGTTGGAAGCTATGCCGACGCAAGCACTACTTCTAGGAGCAAGTCCGGCTCTCCCGCCAGCTCGAGGTCGCCCAATCTTGGGACTCAATCCAAGTCGACAGCCTCACGCCGGGAGTCCTCAGAAACAGCCCACAGGCAATCTTCGGTATCACCTCGACCCGTCTACTGCGATATTGGTATTCAGACCGACCCGGTAGAAGACGAATGGTTCAGCGAGCTACGAGATCTTCCATGCCGCAAGAAGAAGATCATTCCGCTTTCCAAACGACTTCTCAACAGTCGGTACAAAGCACGCACTGAAGAGGAACGCAAGCGGTCGATATCATCGCACCCTTCGAGCGTTGATGCAATGGACGTTGATCCCACCGAAGCTGAACAGAAGCCAAACATTTCAACTTCGGAGGGCGAAATGCAAACTGAAACACAACACGTTCCGCTTTCTCCTGCTCCTACTAAAGATATTGATACCGAACTGCCTGACGCGCCATCTCCTTCTTCGCCTCGTTCTCAAGAAGCGCCAGCCGTTGAACAAGAGCCTGCGAAAGAGTCTATAGAGGAGCCTATAAAGGAGCCTGCAAAGGAGCCTGCGAAGGAGCCTGGAAAGGAACCTGCAAAGGAAGCTACAGAGGAGCCTGTGAAAGAGTGCGAGCCAATAAAGGTACCTGTGGCGGAGTCAGAAAAGGAGCATATAAAAGAGGAGTCATCTACTAAGGAAGAACCACCTGCGAAGGAGCAGCCTGCTAAAGAGGAACCCGCCAAAGAGGAGCCTACCAAGGACCAGCCTACGAAAGAGCATGTCAAAGAGGCTCAGGCTACCCCTATGAAGACCAAGGCTCCGGAGTTAAGAGTCCAAATGCCTACCACTCCCGCACTGGATTCTTCAGCGACAGCTGTTCCAACGACCACTACACCTTTATCTGCAACCAGCTCTGCCGTCCAATCAGCAATTATCTCTAGCAGTCTGCCGAGTCCATTTGGCTCAGCCGTCAACGGAGCAGTCGCCACTCCGAGTCCAATCAAGAAAAAATTAAGCCTTAGTGATTACAAGAGCAGGATGAACAAGGCTGCTGCAAAGCCTTCGCTCAGTCTCATCTCTACCAAGTCCAGTCTTTCCGAGGCAGATGAGATCAAGTTGGAGAATCCTATTGAGCCAGCAACTATCGAGAAGATTGAGAGCGCAGTGGCCCCCTCCGCTCCGGCGGCAACCACTAACGGCCACTCATAAACGACGGAGGACAAAATATTATATGTTTTATTCCATGTTTCACACTGTCAGATTACGCGACTGAACGTATACTGCGTTCAAACGAGATGAAAAATACTACTGCGGCAAGTCTCAAAAGGGGCTGGAGTTTGTGCAATTTTTTATACAGGGCAAATGGGCTTCTCGGATGTTGCTCACTGCTACTTCTCTCTTGTTCTATTTTTCTTTTCTCGATTCTATTTATAGGCGTTCAGGGCAACAGGGAAGAATGGAATTGAGGTTTGGCGCCAAGGAAGATTCCAAGCCGCAAGGCCGACGCAAGGAGTTCACCCGTTATCTTGAACCCTTGATCCGGCCTGGCTTTGGAGGTTATACTGGTCAAGGGAGCGAGTCAAAGGCATCTTTCGCAATGCAACGCTCCGGATATATACAAAATGGAGTCTGCTGGACATTAGGGCCCGGGGAATATTTTCCTGCTTTCTTTTTTTCTTCTCTTCTTTTCTTTTTTTTTTTTCATTTTCCTTTTTCAAGAGGAGGGGCGTACTACTTCAGGACATAACTGATTTTCTCCCACCGCGTTTTTAAAAAACTAGGACTTATCTTGGGGTCCTGTGTACTTTTACTATTATTATGATTTTTAACTGGATGAGTGGATGGATGGATGGAAGGGAAAGGGTTTGAGGGTAGTACGGGAGCATCATTTTCTTGTTTTCCCTGCTCGGCCTGATAGGATTGACGGCCGAATGGCCCTTTGGGTTCTTGGGTGGTTCTGGGCTGAGACGACGACATGTGAAATAATTGATGCAGATGTTCGCTTTTTTTTTTCCACGTTTGGGTTTGTGAACAAGGCTTGTTCCTGTGGCAGAAGGTTACATTTTTTTTTTCTCTCTCTTTGAAACCGGGTTCAAAGTATGAGGTAGTCAGATAGAACTATTGAACAAAAAATTTACAAGGGTTCTTTTGGACGAGGTCCTTTTTTTTTTCTATGCACTCTCTAGTTATAGAATGGATGCGTTTGCACAAAGCTCTAGAAGTTGCGCTTTTCTCTCTTTATGAAGATTGATAACTCATAGACGTCTTTGCTTTCAGACGCTGGCAATACGGCCATGCCATTTATTTAATTTTTTTTTTTTTCTGGTTATAAATTCTATCTCTTAGCTTGTACGGAGTACCACGATTTTAAATCCCTACAGCCACTTCTTTAGTATCTAGTATCTGGTTTTTTATCCGCTGAGTAGGTATCTAATAGCACATTGTGGCCTAAAAAAAAAGCAGAAACCAACTATATATATAATATCACAAGGCTTCATCAATAAAATGAGTTTTGCTCCCCCCCCTTTCTTAATGCTGTCCTGTGCTGCCCCAGTTATCTTCCTTAAAGATTAATAGTGCAAGCTTGTGCCTGACAAACAGGCCAAACAGACCAACGCCGAGCTGCAGCATCGTCACCTCCAAGGCAAGACGGTTTTCCTTCAGGGGGCCCCGCCAGACGAGCCATAGGTTGAGGAGAGTCAGGTTGCTGGTTTCGACAAAGAGGCCCTTTTCATCTGTCGTAACCTTGACGAGGCGCACGCGATGGAGAAAGAGCAATGCCTGGGCAACAAGAGGATGGGGTTGTCGGTCAGGGCTCCAGGGCGTGATGGAGGGCTCCATAAGGCCGGTGCGGGCGTTGAATTTCGGGAGGCGGTGGCGCGGGCAGGGAATGAGGCCGAAGATCTGAGGGCAGGAGTAGAGGAAGTTGAAGAGCTGCGGGACGAGGAGCAGGCCGAGCGTCTTGGAGAAGTGGCCGAGGATGCCGACGACGGCGAAGACCATGCCGGAGAAGTAGCAGTAGGTGTCGCCGACGAAGACCTTTGCCGGGTACCAGTTGTGGTAGAGCAGCGCGCAGGAGACGCCGATCCAGGGGAGGAGGAAGTAAAGCGAGAAGAGATGGGAGTCGGTGGCCGGGTGGGGGTACGGCGTAAAGAGGTAGAGGCAATCGTTGAAGGCGATGAGGAGGGACACGACGATGCACTGGGAGACTTCGATGCCGTTGATGCCGGCGAACATGTTGATGCTCTGGGGGCAGAACATGGCGACGCAGGCCATGTAGACGTAGTAGAGGAAGCCGAGGTCGAAGAGCTCGCCGAGGTAGGGCTGGAGCTGGACGGGGATGACGATGGAGGTGACGTCGAAGTCGACAAAGTAGACGACGAGAAGAGGGATGGAGGCCAGGCCGGGAATCCACCATTTGTGTCGCCATCGAATGTCGAAGAGGTCGTCGCCGATGCCGAGCAATGCAATGGTCTGGAGCGAAATGATGGCGCCAAGGTAGGATGCGAGCTAGATTCGTGACAATTAGTATAATGAGCTGGAGGATGACTCTCTACTCTCTCTCTCTCCTTCTATCTCTCTCACCTTATTATGGGGGAAGCGATGCAGAAAGCGTCCTTCGTCGGCATACTGGATCTCAACCACAACGTCTCGGTTTCCGCCTCCGCTGGTCGCCGCAACTATATCTTTGTAAAAAGGGAACGGTATGAAGATGATGACGGTGATGAGATACACCGCGGCGCAAACCGCGCCCATGCACTCTGGAATCTCGACGCCGTTGACCTTGCTCAAGTCGCGGCCTCGAAAGCCAGCTTTGATAAACGTCGGGCCGAGCCACCGGATCATGGCGTAGCAGAGCGAAAAGGCAATGAGCGACAGCGCCAGCGACGCAATGAGGGGTTCGCCATCGCCGTGGAAGGTGTTTGCGAGGATGGCGAGCGAGGCGCCGGAGAGGGTGACGAGGCTGAGCGTTTCGGTGCGGGAGAGGTCCGTAGCGGAGGAGCTGGGCGAGCCGGCGACGGTCATGGTGGGAACGGGCTGGGAGGTTATATGGAGGCGGATTGGATCAATGGCATGGTTTTTTGGGCGGAGGTGGAAGTCGGCGCGACAAGGACTCGTTGCGTGCGTAGAGGTTCGGTATATGTATCCCTATTCAACCCAGCCGTCGCAAAGAATTTGGCGGAAGAGGAGGAGGAATCTAATCGTCAAGTTGTCGCATCGAGATGAATCTCTTTAGGTGAGATGTATGGGCCCGTGAGAAACAATGAGCGGATACAGAAAATAGGAAAAAAAAAAAGGAAAGGAGGAAGAGAAAACAAGCAAATACAAACTGCTGATGCTCTTGATTTTCTGGCTAAACAAACGAGTTGAAGCCAGCATGTCGCAAAGCCGAAAGTGGCGTTTCGTCATTGCCAGGGGAGGGGTGTGCACGTGCGTGGCCTGGCAATTGCTTGGGGGTGTGCAGAGTAAGAATGAACACACGGGCATGCAGGGGTATGGAAAGATGGGATGAAACATTGAGACTGCTACAATCAATAGAGTCAGCTGTTTGGAAGTATATTCGTATGCCAAAGGGAATGAGAAGTCTTCAATTTGGTCAATTCCTTGATCTTGAATTATAGTCGTAAAAATTCATAATATTAACCCTGGCAATGAGCGGCTCAAGCCTTCCCAGGTGCCATTCCCTTCTGTGTATATAATACCATTACCAAGACGTCGTTCGTCTTTGCCTAGATCAACTGCAAATTCAAAAAGACTCAAGCTCAAATAATAAGCTCAAATACCAGTGCTATATGTTACGGCGCAGTTCTTTGCGTGTTAAAAACCAGGGTATCAACGGCTGTCGCCGTGAGCATATATGTCCCTCATCTAAAGCATATCATGGCCAATTTTTTTAATAATTGTTTTGTTTGTTTGGCTGTTCAAACACTTTGCAACAGCAGTTTCGTAAAAAGAAAATCCCAACTCTTTTAAACCAATTCCCACTTGGCAACATAAGCCCAAGCCATTCCAACTTTGCCCTTCTTGGAGAGAAACTGTTGAGCGGTCACGCCCCGTGCGTCTTGGCCATCCATAGATGTCAGCTGCAGCACCATCACCGACTGGCCTGGAGCACCAAGGTCGCGAGCATTAACATCAGCCCAGTGCCAGAAGCCATCTGTCTCAATCGGGATGATGTCGTCTTTGCGGCCATCGACGCCGTGGAACTGTAGCAGGAACAAAGGAGGCTTTCCACGGCCATTCTTTTCTGATTTCCAGTGCTCGCATATTTTTGAGAACTGGAAGCGAACAATCTCGCCACTGTATACAGATATTTCCTTCGACGCAGGCTCGATTGAATCTTCGGCAATGCCCTCTTGGCCACAGTTGCCAAATACTTCCACTGGCGGACCCTGAGAACGGCCAATGATATATTCGTCCCAAGTGATAGTACGGCCATCCTCTCGGAATTGGTGCCTACCATCAGAAGGGAAATGAGTATTACCAAAGCGGTGACCGCTGTTTGTAAACTGAACTGGGCTGAATTCTTTCTTGAACAAGTTGTTATTTCCGCAGATGTGGCCAGCTCCCCAGCAGGCGTCGAGCAGCCGCCAAACACCGCCATCAACCCTGACGGCATTCCATGCGTGCCCGCTCGGGTCAGCAGGCGGCGGTCTTTCTCCCTTTTTCAGAGGAGTATATCCATAGCCTTTGCCATGACCGCCAACAACGATGCACTCCAGGCCGGCCTTGTTGGCGATCGCCTTGTACGTCTCCGCATATCCTTGACAAACGGCTGCGCCGTATAGTATGGTGTTTTCAGGCGTTTGCCCCCTGATATTGCCGCTGAAGAAGGCTTGGGTATCATACGCAATGTTGTGGTGGAACCATGTGAAGATGGCTCTTGCCTTGTCGTTATATGAGGGGAACGGATCACATAGTGCGCGGGCAAGATATCCAACGGGGTCATTCCGGGGCAGTCCCTCTCTGGGGTACTGGGCGGCGACAGCATCAGGTCCACTCCAATCTCTGCATACCCAGCAATCGTTGGCCACAGCGGGAGGGGCTGGTGACGCTCGAGATGAGATGGCTTGAATCTGGGCGACAGAGGGCCGAGAGGCCATTGGGATAGGAGGCGGAGCGTCATCGGCAGCGGCATCAATCTTGGGCCTCGGTGGCATTCGTGGGGCCTGCTCTGTTCGAGACCCAGTCCCAAAGCCACGGATTTGAACAGTCACAGGGGCAGGCTTCGGTGTCGGTCTCGGCACGGACTCAGTGCTTGCAGAAGCCTGGGGCCTGACTGGTCTCGATGGTTGTCTAGGGGGGAGACCGGGTCTGGCCTCTCTGGCCTCTCTGGCGGCGGCTTGCCTCGCTGCAGCCTCCTCCTTCGCCTTTGCTTCCAATTCTCGCCTCGTGGGTGGCAAAGGGGGCAGGTCAGCCATGTCCGTTACGGGTGGCAGCTTATGCACGACCGTGCCGTTGGATCCATTGCTCGTGGTAGAAGAAATCGTCTTAGTCAATGACAGAGATGACATGGTAGACTGCATCGATGCTTCAGATGACGCAGAGTTGCGTCGTCCTGAGGGCTTGGGGACCGTAATCGTCGACGTTCGCCGTGGCGGTAGTGCAGGCGACGCCTGGTAAGATCCAGTCCTCGCCGGCAAAGGTGGAGGGCCAGAAGCATCTGCAGCATTCTGGGTATTCCGACGAGGGAGGGGGGGCGGTGCATCGGCATTTGGCTTGGGTCTCGGGGGTGCGCGGGGTGCAGTCTCATGTGCCGAGCCGTTGATAGTCACGACGGGAGCAGTTTGGCTCCGGCCTTGGGCTTCAGCAGAAGGGCGTCCAGGAGGAGGAGGCGGCGGCGGTTTCTTGCGAGCAGCTTCAGGGGTGCCAACGCTGCTGAAGTTCTTCTGCTTGTTCAACGCAGCTATCCGCTCTGCCAGCGTGTTGAACTGGGGTTCTTCAGCGTCTGCCATGCTGTCGGTTGTTTCCCTTTAACACCAACAGATTTTTCTTTTATTTTCTCTCTCTCAATCTCCCTTCTTCTCTGATCCTATCTATTATCCCGATTGTTCAGACCGGCAACCGTTAGACAAGGTGGCGAATCGAGCTAAGGTCAAGCAACTGCGGTAGCTCAATGGCTTGGCAGGGCAAAACGAACGGCTGCGGTCTCGAGTTGCATGCAGAAATGAGCGAGAGAAATGGGATGCTCTGTTCCCCTTCAGCAGCTAATTCAATGAGCGACGAGAAAAAGACAGCAAGCAAGAAGAGGATGATCGCTAGAAGGATTGGAGCGGCAGCGTCAGTCGGGCCATGGATGGTTTTATACCAAGTGGTGGCCAAGGAAAAGTGCGTGCATTAGCTGGTTTGAAGTGCTGGACGGAACCAGGTGTTTGCTTGCTCTGCACAGCCCACTTGGTTGCTCCCGTGTAATCAGTACCAGCTGGGCAGTGGTATTTATAGCCACTGTGCGAAGTACTGGCTACAACGCCCGGCTTTTGGCTGCCGTGCCCGGAGCTGCGTCCAGTTCCAGCTGCTGCAGAGGCGCCGTTTTGGTTTTTAGGCAGATGCGGCTCCACAGCATGCAGAATGTGGTAAAAGATTGAGGGGAATTGGCAGAGAAAGGCCACTACGTAGACTAGGTATTAATGCGATACACTGCGAGTAGGCCATATAAAGAGAGGACACAGGCAAGGCTACGGCCAGGCCAGGCCTTATTCAACGCGTTGTTTTGGTTGGCAAGCAATGGGGGCGGCTAAAGCAGGAGATGTGGCGCGATTTTTGCCAGGCCCGCTCGGCAATTGCCTAACCTGGCCGTGAGGCTGCGGCATGTAATCGATACGGACGCTGGTGAAGGATTCTGGGGGTTGTCTTGAGCGGTACCTCAGGCTGGGTTTGTAAGTGGAAATGGCCAGTTAAGTGGTGGTGGTAGCACTGGATGGAGCTTGCAGCTGGAGCTGTCTGTTGTTGATTGGACCGACATTGTTTGTTGGACGTGCATTAGTTGATGATATACAGATTTTGGGAGGAGTAGTTGACGGGCCCCAGGCAGCCAAGCAGGTTCTGAATGACTCATTGGCTTTAATGCCCATGACAATTCACCACATGCGAAGCCAGCCAGGATAGTAATAGTTGTACCGTAGTAGATTAATAGCACTGGTTGTATGTATGTATTAAAACCGATTCGATGCGGATAGAGTGCTTAGCCTATAAAGATGGCGGGCTTCGGCCAATACTGGTTTGACTGATAAACACTTATCAATCCTTTTGCTTTCCAGCAGCATTGGTGCCCAGGCACGCAGGCAACAGACTGCCTGAGCATGCATCTCCTCTCGTTACTAATACCATCTGGCCTTCTCACTGGCTCTCATCATGTTGGAATATTTAGGGTTGTGCGAGCCTCTTGTGGTGGCAAATTGGAGACAAAAAACCCGCTCTGCTATCGCACAGTCTTTCCCCCCCCCAGCGGTCCGCAGCTCCCAACACGGCTCGGTATCATGCAAGAAAATAAACAGCACCTTTGTCTACGACCTCACAGCTGCACTTTGCATGTATATCTCAGTGCTGACAATGGGTGACGATCTTGGCATGGCAGTATCAACAAGTAAGTAGGCGCCACCATCATCCAATATCGACAACATAAGCTGATTCAAATGGTGCTGCTGCTAGTAGCATCGCGCCCATATTATTAGCTTTGGCCGGTGTAAGTGCTCGTGCCCGTGCGCGTTTCCCCTCAAGCAACGCCCAGGCTAGCGAACGGCCAAGCGGTCCCAGCACACCCACACCCCATAATTACAGGGCCTTTAGCGCCAACCAGCAGCCAACGTCGCCTAAATTGGCTCCTCCACCCCGCTGAGCCAGCCTCTCTACCCACGTGTGTGGCCCATCAAAGCCGCCATTCCCCATGTTTCCATACACCTGCCGCTCCTGGCTCAAGTTCAATCAGTCAAGCCCCAGAAGCAGAAGTTTCGGGGCCGGTGCGACGTAGGAAACACAGCAAGACCAGACCACAAGGCCGAAATTCGCTCAGGCCGCTGCTCGCAACGTGGCGCTGGCCTTAGTCTGGCTGAAGCTTGACTTTTACCTCCTACCACAACCTCTGCATCACATCATATCCAAACACCAGATTATCAGCTAGTATCGCCATCGGTATCATCATCAGCGTCCTGCCAATACCGGCGTCGGTCCTCTCGGCGAGTCTCGTTATACAACCTGCCTAGTCAGCAACTGAGCAAACGGCGTTGCCTGCTCTTCGCTGACTGATCCCATCGACCATCTGTCTACAACCGGCTTTCGTGGCCCCTCCTCCTCATCGTCGTCTGTGGCGCTGAGGAGTGCGCTTCGCTTCGTCTCGTCTTCGTCGCCTTCTCGGCCGCCTGCTACTGCTCTACCAACAATCCATCATGGCCACGAGCGCTGCCGGCGACGAGGTGGTGGCGGCCGAGTCCAAGGAGCAGCGACTCTCGTTTATCGATTTACCTGCGGAAGCCCAGCAAGAAATCATCTCACACGTATGGTCCCCCTTGTCAGATTTTCTTTCTATTTCCCTTCGACGAAAAAAAAAACACCATCCATGTACCTCATACTTACTTGTTTGTCTTGCTATCTAGTGCTCACAAAGCGATCTGATATGCCTCGCTGTCGTCTCTCGTCACTTCCATGAACTCGCCTCGGCTCAGCTCTATAAAAACTTCCACATCATCTTTCCCGATGATGACGACCTCAGCTTCGACTCTTCTATCGACGGTCTTGCCAGCGGCCTTAATACGTTCACCACGAGCAATTATGACTACGCCAAACACCTAAGAGATTTCTCCATGGACACTCTTAGTGCTGGCCTCAAGGGAGAGGCCTCTTATCAGTCGTATTTGTATTCTGCTAGTTGTGGAAAATTTCTAAACACGCTTTTACATCTTACACTGAAACGGGCCAGGTCTCTTGAAGTTTTTCGGTGAGTATGCGTATCTCCGCCCTACATTTAGGTATCCCAGAATGTTTGTTCCAGTCTGGACGTGGGAGTGAGACATACTAAATCTTATGGGTTTTTCTTGCAGATGGAACATCCGTGTAGAATTAAGCAGGCCCGTTTACCGCGAGCTGCATCGAATAGCATCGCTCAAGAAGCTACATGTTCGGATGCAGGCAGGAGAATCTTACTACACGCGACCACCACCACTGCCAGTCTCTTCCGGCAACTACCCTCAGCCAAGTGCGGCAAATCCTTGGGGAAGCATTCCGCCACTTGCTCCCCTCTCTCTGCTGCCTCCACCGCCGCATCCGGGAGCTACCCTGCCTGTCGTTAGTGGACCCCCGCCTGCTCTGATGCCACCGTCATACAAATCAGCGCTTAAGAACAACGTCGGAAAGCATGCAGACGGTGCAAAAGAGCCCTCCACATTTTCAGGGTTCAAAAATCTCAGGAGACTAAGTGTCTTGGATATCGACACCCTCGATATAGTGAGCGAGCTCAATATTTGTATCAAGAATTCGAGCTGTACGCTCACTGAGCTTCAACTATCTTTATCCGATACTTTAGCGAACCAGGCACGTAAGCCTTCACCCGGTTCCGACGCAGACGATTCAGACATTGAGGGCGAATTTCAAGTTCATCCCACCACCCAGAACAACAATAATATGGATGATATCGACTATGACACTATTGGTCCCGTCAGAGCTTTTCGAGCCCAAGAAGAGCGAAAGCTTCAGGAGTCGATGCTTGGTAGAATACTCGAGCTGTACCCCCACTCAATTAACGCGCGGCCCAAAGCAGAGGATGATCAAGCCAGCCAGGATACCGACAAAAAGAATACGGAAACTCCAGCAATGGACCCTAGCGAGGCCTTCTTTACATCCATAAAGGAAGCTTATACTAAAATTACTGACGGGTCATCTCGATTCTCAGATCGGCAAGAGATACTTGACACTATGGCGAAAGCTGCAAGGAAATATGTATATTCTATCGACACTTCTGGACCGGCTACTTGGCCGCCAAATGCCTCCAACGGAGAAGCCTCAACCAGCACGGCCCAGGCGGTTACTGAGGGCGAATCTCCAAGCACAGGCGATAAAGCAGATGCTGAGGCCCCCTCTGCCAAGGAAGCTGAAGAGAATACCACTTCCACAGCAGAGGCAAAGTCCGATGAAAGCTCATGTAGCAATGTATCCAAGAAGAAAAGCGGTGACGTTTCTCCAGAGGATATTGATATTGAGCACCTAGAGGTCATCGACGATGGATTTGAAGAAACAGAGTACTCGAGTCCTTCAAATAGCATCGAATATAAACCTGTGGACGGGTCCACTTCCGAAGCAGAGCCTCTGCAATTCGATTTTTCTGCTGATTCGGCAGCTCCTACCCCTGTGGTTGATGCAGTTGCAGTTGCAGTTGATACTGCTGGAACATCAAGCAAGGCGGCTGAGGCTGAGGTTGAGGCTGGGGCTGAGGCTGAAATGCCATCTAAAATGACGGAAAAGGCTAGAAAGCTTGCTGCGGCCAAGGCAGCAAAAATCAATCTCGAGAACCTAATGACCAAACTTGGTTCATTCCGAGACCGATCAAAAGCCATAGGAAAGCGAATTAATGATATGCGTGCCCAGGGTTCATCGATGGACCAGGTTCTTATCAAAGACGCCGACGCACAGTTCACAGGATTCAGCTCCATGGTTACTGACCTCCAGAATGAAATCCAGGTAGTTGAGGAGGAGATGGATGAGGTAGAGCGTCAAGTAGCAGCCATCAACCGCAACGGCATGAGAGATTATATCCGTCGAACAAGAGGGTTGACGCTTACGTCTCTGAGCATCCATCTCATCCCCGTCAAGGCATCTGTTTTATCACGGTCGATCAACATTTCCTGTCTCAAGCAGCTTACCCTTCTCAACGTTGGCAACCAAGTGCCTATCTGGAATCTTCTCGCCAAAGAGAACAGACAGCGGCCTCTTGGGCTGAGAAGCATCTTCACTGACAATGTGACTGACACGTTTCTCGGTTTTGCATCTGAGCTCGAAGAGATACACGAGCTCTTTCTACTGGAACGGGATGTTAAAAGTAAACCTGAAAGTTTTGCGCCGCGAGGCTCAACGGTAATAGACCAGATTCGCCGGCTTGTCCTCAAGAAACACATTCGCAAACTAAAGCGATTGATGATCAGGGATGAGTCTTCTGGACCTAATTGGGACTGTAATGAGAAAACGATGGTCCTTATATGCACTCAAGGGCGGAATCTTAAGGAGTTGGCGCTGAGCATGAATATCCACGCTCTGGTGAGTAGAGAAAGAAAAAAGACACAAAACAAAAGCTAATTTTAACAGCATGTTTTTATGCAACACGTTTCCGGGCTTGTCAATCTGTGTGCCATTAATATCGTACACTTTCGCAGCCATGATGCCTGCATGTCGGTTATGCGAGAAATCCTAAGGTTCATTGTTGACAATCTATCACACCACCCCGAGCTCAAGCTAGAATGGATCGCAATGGAAGGTGATCGTGTATACCAAGTTGTCAGGCCAAATCAGGGGATTGATGACACCTCAAATGAACAAAGCAATAACAAGCGAGCGAAGGGCAAGAGCAAGGACACGGCAGCCCCGGTCAGTACTGGTCTTCACAATCCTTTCCCAGCTCTTCCTATGGACAGTCTTGATTCAGAAAGCGATAGCGATGATGTAGATATTAACGTCGGAACCCATCTACGATTTAAGACAATTGGGCCTCTGCGGTTTTACGACGTCTGGGGAGTAAAAATATTCGAAAAAGAAATACAGAGCGGGAGATTGTAATATTTTTATTTTAAATTATATTTTATATTATAATATTAATAACTAGTATTAGTTAAATAAATAAGTTATTTTAAAATATTACAAAATAAAGTAGTTTTATTAATTATATAATAAAAGTTAAATATTTTTTAAAAAAATATTTATAAATTTAATAAAAATTTAAATAAAAATTATATACAATATATTATATATTAAAGAATTAATATAAAGTAAAATTAATTAATTATAATAATAATATTTTTATTTTTATAATTTATTAATTAATAATAATTATAAATAATAATTATTAATCAAATTTTTTTAATTTATATTATTAAACAATGTACCGGGATTTCTGTTATAGTAGTTATATAAGTTGTTGTAAAGGGCAGTGCTAGCCTAAGCTGCTAGCATTGACGGATCTTTTTTTGGCTCGATTGGCTCGATTGGCACCCTTTCTAATCCTGTTACAAATAATTATAATTATTTTAACATATATGTATATTTAATGCAGACGGGTACTCTATTATAAAGACTCAAGCCGAAGCATTACAATGATATGTATTCTAGCATTCTACTGCCTCTACTACCTCTACTGCCTAAATCATTTCAAGGATTATATTCTTCTGAGATATATATAGTGTGGACTGACCTTTTTATCATGTCCCGGTTGGGGTTCTGGATAATAAAACTGGGCCGTTAAATGATATTTCAATAAATATTCCTACGAAATCAGTCACGGCCTGTGCCATTTACTACTTTAGGTATGTACTAAGGCTTACACCTGTAGGTATAAGTTGTCCTAAAGATCACCCTTTCATACGCCGGGGCCGGAATACGGTTTGCAGCGCTGGATACCTTCCGGTTAGTACTGCTTCTATATTTTGTTTGAGAGGATTGCAGGTTATGGCTGACTTCACCTAGTAGTATAGTACGGCCAACATTTGCACAAATAACAGACAAAAAGATATTATTAGAAAGAACAGTTTGCATTATCGTAGTATGTCAAGCCTCTTTGTGTGTATCAGTGTTCGTACACCATCCTTTGTTGCCAGCGAACAAAGTCGAATCAAAGAATAGCTTGTTCATTAAAAGATGAAAATGTCGCAGGACAAGTCAGACATCTCGGAAATAACGTCAAATACCGGATATATAAGCTACCGCAAGATCAGCACGATGCCTTCTTAGAGTCTGAATGTCAACGGCAGTGCTTAGTTTCCCATAGAAAACAGATCCTAAGAACGATTCAGCTATAGCAAGTCTCCATCTTCGCAAATCCACTACCCACAGCAAGAGATTATATCACAAATACAGAAAATGGAGACAGACCGTGGCGAGCAAAGACCAGACAGTATGAAAAATGTTCCTCTTCAGGCAGAAGCTCGCACAGAAGAGCGGGGCATCATACGCAAGGAATTTCGCGATCGATTCAACAGAGAGCTTGCAGAGCGGAAAACATGGGAAGAGATTTATCTCGGCCAGCTGGAAGAGCGGAAGACAGAGCTTAAGACCGCGGAAACGAAACCTCCTACTCCATCAGAAGGACAGAGTGTAGAGCAAGTGGATATAGGACAAGAGGTTCGGGAAGACGATCCTTCTGCTCAATTATATGGAGAGTTGATAGATCGGGAAATTAGGCAACATAAATTTCTTGCTGAAGTAGCAGAGATCAGAATTCGACAAGATAAACTTTTCGAACGCTTTGAAGAGCAGCGCAAAAAGGCCGAAGAAGAGGCTTTTTACAGATCCAGGGGGCGGACAGAATAGAAATCCAGCACCAGATAGCCCCTTCTATTTGTTTTCCTTTCCTGTTTCTTCCCCCCTTCGAGGTTTTTGTACTTCTCACTGTCGACATGGAGCTTGAAGGATGAATATTAGAGTTATCTAGTAATACAAAATAACTTTTTTGTCAACTTGAGGACCTGCTATATAATTACGCGATTGAATACATTTATAGGGTAGTTGAATTAAGGCTATCAAGCCATGCTGTATTTGGGGTCCAGCCTATCCAACCATAGATTAACGCCCCTCTAAATCACTTGGCATAAGCACTATAGATGCCATAATAAGAGACATGGCACAGTCTGCTGCGCATGTGTTATGCACATCCGTTTTATCGACTTTACCACTCTCTATGTCGTGGACCCGTTATACATCTATCAGAACGAGCAACAAGAGCGACAATTGTGTTGACTTATTTCTCTAACCAAAAGATAATCAGCAGTAGGCGCTTGGGTCAAGTTGCCGAGTCATGAGGTAATAGCCCAAGGATGGTACATTAGTTCTGTTTAATAGTGGCAGATAGGTATCTATTAATAAATCGAGGCTGAGTTGGTCGTCTCTCTGATCTTCATCCCTTGAGTCCCACATCTTTACCAGCCAACCAGCATACGTCCTATTTCACATGCCATGAAGGAAGCTGAGGGCCTGAATTACCCAAGAGCTGGAGGGTTGAAGAACTAGCCGCTGTGGCGTCGAGTATCAGAGTCGAGACCCCAACGTCGAGGCCCAGAGCCAAGATCAGGTTGGCCAGGCTGTGACGTATAATATTGGTCTCCGGGAAGAAGGGTGAGACACTGCGGCACGCGAGCCTATGTGATCAGAGACATGTTTTTTTTCTTGCCTGCGTGGCAACCCGCCCAGCTGGATGCGGAGGAAGAGTTGCAGGAGTCTTGGTGGCGCAGCTAGCCGAGATCCTTGTTTCATGGCTTTTCAACCATCTCGTAAAGATGAAAGTGCTAATTGGCCCGGTGAGCTTGTAGGTGAGGGAGATTTTTCTAACCACTAGAACATGCGTATGACTTGATGCTGGCAGTAGTTCGAACTAGCATATTATTTGTAGCTATAGTAGGTACCTAGTATTCAATAATATGTAAGTATAGTACTAGGTAGTTCTGGGCATGGGTTTACTCCGCACTTATATGACCCTGTCTTTGTAGCATACATTAGGCGCAAAATATAGGCGAAGGAAGCCCTCAGCTTTGATAACAGCTTGGCGATGGGTTTCTACTTTTTGAGCCCCGCATGGCGTTTTATTCCATTCGAATTGCTGAATACTCGCGGTAACAATAGGGAGCATAGGGCTCGATGTTTGGTAGGTGAGGCAGAACTTATATGTTTGTGTTTGTATGATGGGTACTTGGCACCGCCGAGACACCGCGCGGCTAAGTACATGTAACCGCCCTCTCTCAGACGATCTTCCGAGGGTGCTGCGTGTCTTGCGTGGCCGTGATCCCTTTGAAGCGCAGTGGAAGGGAAGACCCCAATGTGTATACGTCATGTGCCGTGAGCCGCACATTCGGAACATGATGCTGCGCCCAGCCGGGAACTCTGGCTGTGTGTTGGCGTACGGGTCAACAGAACATGTCGCTGATGTCGATGTGTATTCGCTGGGATGGTTTCGCTGCATGTACTCCGTACACAGTCCAGGAATGCATGTACATGTACATTCACACACATGTGCAGCGATTTAGATGAAAATGCAGGGCTTCCATGTGGCCTGAAATGCACCCGCAATGCCATCAGCGACACCCCGCCAGACTGTGCCAAGTCCGGTGCCACAGATACCGCCGCTACGGCACCCGCGCAATCGCTGGGCTGCGTCTACATTCAAGAGTACATTCACGTATACACGATGTTGCTGCCCAGCCAAATGCGCCAAACAAACAGCAGAGCCCCCCGTCGTGCAGGGGCTTCGGCAGCGTTAGCCCAGCTCAACGCACCCCCAATTAGGCAATACGCAACGCTCAGGCCGTCCACTGCGGAGGAGCCGTCCAAGGTTCTTGCCCGTTTGCCTTTTACTTCTTTTTTTAGGCTACGCAGATGCCCGCTCTGTTCATTACCTTAGTTTGCCCTTTCTCTCTCTTCTCTCTCTCTCTTCTTTCTCTCACTTCTTTCTCTCACAGGCCATCTCGATCCTTACCCTTTCTCCTTCAGTGTCCTTTGACCTTGAATCTCACCACCACACTCGCAGTACCTGCACTTACAAACGCAACTGACACGTCAAGCGTCACGGATCGACGAGCCCCACAGCCCTTCTCGTGGCCGTTGCCCGTTTCGACATCACTATTCTCGCCCAACCGTCAATATGGATCAGCTTCTCACCAATCTCTGGACAAGAGGTGGTTGGTTCCGTGCCTTTACACCACCTTCTTCCGCCGCCAACGATAATATTACCGCTGTCCAAGATGAGCTGTCCAAGGGAGCTCCCATCCTCAACGTCTCATCGGATATCCTGCTCCTAGTTGGAGACTACTTGGATGCTTCGGAACTCCTTTGCCTCAAGCTTGCTTGTCGAAGCACTTATGCACTCTTCTCGCAGAGCTACAAGACAATGCGCCCCAGCCAAAAGAAGCAGTTCCTCCCCCTCATCGAAAAGGATCCCCTGGGCAGAGGGACCTTCTACTGTGCCCCTTGCAACAAGCTACATCCTTTTCAGCAAACCACTGGACCTCATTCAAAATTAGAAGACGCTGGAGAGAAACGCAAGCACAACAAATGTTCAGGGCGAGATCGATTCTCTCCCCTCAACAATCCATTTGGCCTTAGCTACGCCCATGCTAGGCTGGCTGTGAATCGTCACTTATACGGCGCCGAACACGGCATCCCGCTAGCTAATTTGTGCATCGAGCACAGCGAACAGCGAGGCATGACCACCATCAAATGTTCAACTTCGGCCAAGATGATGGATGGCGAGCTGTTCCTGCAGCGCACTTACGCCTTCGCTGTGGCTGAGACCGATGTGGCCGATTTCCGCAAATGTACTGGCGCGCGCGACTTCAAGCTGTGCGAGCACACCTCGTTCTTTTCCGGCTCTTCGGCCTTTCGCCAATACATTCCAGAGCTGCAGAGGAAGCCACTTACTGGCGGCGATGACCTGGTCCCCTGCCGCGAGGCGACGGGATCCTGTGGCTTATGCCTGATGGACTATGACATCACAATCGAGCCTTGCATACTTGCAAACAGCGGCATCAAGTCGTGGAGAATCGTCATCAGAGCTATTCACCAGCTCGGCGCTTGCCGCTCTCCTGAAGACTGGAAATGGGCACGGTTCACCGAAGCTTGCCGACAGCATCTCTTCTTCCCGAATCGACCTAATCGTCGCGGGTCAGCTTACAATCCTGGCATGGTCAAGAAGCGATGGGCTGACGATGAGATGGAGGCTTGCGCAGTGCTGGACGGACGAGAGTCCAATAGGGGCTTTTTTGGCTTGTCTTTTCTCAACTAGGCGGCCTTGTACGGCAACCATGGTTGGCTTCGCTTTGTCGGAATGCTGCACACGTTGCCAGGCATGAAACACACGCGGATGCAACTATTACACAAAAGACATCCGGTGCTACCGCAGCTCTGGCCTTAGCGAGTACATTTATGTACAAACTCCGAATCATGCGACCACGACATACGTAAGCCTCCAGCTGGATATGCTGATATTAGTCTTTTCTATTTCTTTTTATTTATTTGCATTTTTAAAAGGGAGTGCACGGAGCATTATGCAGCCTATCCCTTTGCGGCCAAAAAACGACATCCTCATCCGGACATGGGGATATCTTCCTCTATTTGTTTTGTTCTACTACAGCCTTAGCGCGTTGTTGATCCTTTTATTCGCTGGCACGACATGAAAATAGGCATCTATTAAACGGGATTTGAATTTGAGATATCATGATATACGACCTTGCTATCACTAGTATGTATCTGCTTTGACTTACAGGCGTGGCTCATCATCACTGCTTTGTGTGTATTCTTTTTTCTTCCCCCCCAAGGCTGGGTACGGGCGTTGTTTGTTTTTATCGCTGGATTGGGCCATTTGCTGTCTCATGTACTACTATTTGTATGAACAATCTTTCATCTCTTTTCCTTCGAACTTGAACTTGGCATTGAACAGCTAGCGATTGGCTATTGCAGGGAAAACAGAATCTCTTCTCATTTAGAATGAAGATTAATAATTCATCCCCCCCCCTTCTCGTTATTTCAAATGTTCTAGTGCAGTCGTGGCCTGCTCATGTATGCAGTTATGCATGGATAACAAATAATTACTGCAGAGCAACCCGAAAACTACGTCATTTCCCGCGTTCGGATACGCGTAACGACACCAAAACCGATGAAATCATGGGATCTGTTGCTGCTGCAGTATATTTCTCCCTCGTGCTAGAATTACGACGTGGCACAAAAGTACGATATATCGAACTGTGCTCCGTATGGCCACTTCTTTTGTCCGTGTCACGGAAGCTATGCCGACGAAGGGATTTCCTTGCCGTTGCATGAAGATATACTCGTTGCCAGTACGGACACAGTAGATTGTGACGATGTTTGTTTTTTTGAACTTGTTTTTTTTTTGGATTATTTTGCTGCGCCGTGGCCGGATTTCTAGTAGTGAAACTGGAAAAACTGCACACCAACACACCGTCTAGTATTTTGTCCATGCATACATGTTCTAAACCGCTCGTTCCTTTTTTGTCCCCCCTTCTTTGCATTTCCTTCCCGCTCACTCCCTTTCTCCCACCTCTCTCTCTTTTTTTTGTGTTGGAAATCCGCAAATGTACTGATGCTTGCTGCTAATGTGTCAATACACCTTTGGAATAACCGCAATGAAAACAATGAAATTCTCCTTCTGGTGGTTTTTTTATTTAAGTATAAAAAGAAAAAAAAAGGTGATGTATGGCGCGAGCAAACTGAGGATGCTGAATTATTACATTCAGCAGGAAGTAGCTCGAGTTACATTGGTGGTATGAGTTTGCGGCAATGGCGGGTCGTTTGTGGTGATATGATTGATGCTTTCTTTAAATGGTTGATGTAAAGCCGCGGTAGAGAGATGCTGAGGTATCGAAATTGATGAAAAGAAAAAGAAAAAGACGCCTTCTTTTTTTTTTATGTCATCAAATTTACAGCTTCTCAATGATGGCACCGGCGTACTCGTGGGTCTTGGCCTTGCCGCCGAGATCACCGGTCAGGGCCTTGCCCTCGGCCAGGGTGTCGAAGATGGCCTTCTCAATCTTGTTGGCGTGGTCGTTGAGACGCATGTGGCGCAGCATCATGATAGAGCTGAGCAGCAGGGCGGTGGGGTTGGCAAGGCCCTTGCCGGCGATATCCGGGGCGGAGCCGTGGACGGCCTCGAAGATGGAGCACTCGTCACCGATGTTGCCGGAGGGGGTCAGGCCGAGACCACCGATGAGGCCGGCGCACATGTCGGACAGAATGTCACCGTACAGGTTGGGCATGACCAGGACCTTGTCGTTGTAGGGGTTGGGGTCGGTGACCATCTTCAGGCAGGTGTTGTCGAGCAGCTCGGCGTCGAACTCGATGTTGGGGAAGTCCTTGGCAACCTGCTCGGCGGTCTTGAGGAAGAGACCGTCGGACATCTTCATGATGGTGGCCTTGTGGACGACGCGGACCTTCTTGCGGCCAATGGACTCGGCGTGCTGGAAGGCGAATCGCAGGACACGCTCGCTGGCCTCCTTGGTGATGAGCTTGATGCTCTGGACAACTCCGTCAACAACGACGTGCTCGATGCCAGAGTACTCGCCCTCGGTGTTCTCTCGGATCAGGACGGTGTCAACACCATCGTAGGGGGTCTTGAAACCGGCGACGGATCGGCAGGGTCGCAGGTTGGCGAACAGGTTGAAGGTTCGTCGCAGGGTCAGGTTGAGGGAGACGTGGCCCTTGCCAACGGGGGTCTGTAAAGCAAACGCATCAGCACAATCTGTTCTTTTCATATCCGTTCATTACGACCGCGGGTGATTTGGAAAGGAGCTCATATTTACGCACAGCCAGAGGACCCTTGAGGGCAATCTTGTTCTTGTTGATGTTCTCAATCGCAGCGTCGGGAATGGCGGTCCTGCCGTCCTTGATGATGGGGTTGACGTCGATGGGCTCCCAAGCAATTGGGGTCTAGTCTCCATTGTTAGCCATCATCCTCTTCTGCTTTTCCTCCTCCTTCTTCTTCTGCTTCTTCCCTCGAGGGACCAGAGAGGTAAGTCGTACCTTGGCGGCGGCGAAGATGTCCTTGACAGACTGAGCAATCTCGGGGCCGATACCGTCACCCTCGATCAAGCTGACGAGGTAGTTGCCCTATTCAAATTGTAAGTATTTTGTCTTGCTGGGTAAAGCTGTGCAAGCGCCAAGCTCTGCGACTTGAGTGAATTTTTTATGCCTCCTCTGTTCCGGTGACATAAAGCCAACAAGCAAGTCGCAGGAAGAGCCGCGGATAGCAAAAGGGCCTGCGCAAATTAGGCATCGACGACGTACATTGGCATCCTTGGTTCCCTCGTACTTGGCAACGCGCTCCTGGGAGTAGAATCGCTGGTTCTAAGCCGCGCATGTCAGACAATTATCCTTCCCCGTCAAGCCCATGTTTGTGCTTCGTACCGAAATCGACCAGGTGGCGGCAGCGCGGGGAGCTGCTCGCACGCAGTGCCTGGCAGGGCTGGAGAGAGAGCGGATGGCCAGCATGGTGAAGAGTGTGAAAGGATGTATAAAAGATCAAATATCGAAGGGAGGAGGGGAGAGGGAGGCTGGCTTGGATCTGCGGAATAATAAGAAGAGAGAGAAAAGGGAGAGTCGCTAATAAACAAAACCCATCTGGAAAGTTTTTTGGCCGAGACTGAGAGCCGGCGATATGCACGCTTCAGCCTTGGTTGCTGCGCTGCGAGTGGCTCAAACGCAAGCTGAGTGGGTAGAAACCAGCCACATGCGCTGTGGCTCGCCCGTGAAATTTCCCTCATTCGAACATTTTTTTCCTCTCTTCCGCTCTGCCGCGTCGGCCAGGCGCCTCGGATCCGTTCGGTTTGCGGCATGGACGCTCCGAGCTACGCCCAATCGAGGCGGGACCATTAATTACGTCGATGCCGCCAGCTATTTTTTTTTTTTTTTTCTGGGCTCGCTCTTGTAACCTCGGCGTGCTCCGTGGTTCAGATTAACGGACGCTAGACTGGGGCCAGCGCCACCAGGTGCGGCATGACTAAGGAACTGTGGCTGGGAGGGAGGTTCCGAGGCGTGGCTGGTGATGGCAGCACAGCTGGATGGGGCAGGCTGTAACGGAGCACGGAGGAGCAGCACGGGGTACCGTCGAAGGTACCTGATCGTGCATCAGCCAGCTCCAATACCGTAGACCGTAGTCTAGTACATGCATAGATCGCGGAGCTGGTTGCTGGTTGCTGCGAATTGGCCTGGACAAAGCAATGGTCGCTGCACCGCTCTGCCAGATCCCCGAACACGAACCACGACACCGTCAGGCGCTGCTCTTGCGGCCTACATGAGCTTCCGCTGCCGGCCTCCGCACCGTCCTCGAGCTTCGTAGCTTAGCAGCTGTGGCTGCAACGATCCCGACATCATGTCCGACTACGAGCGAACAATCCTCGAGTTCTACCAGCTGCCCACCGCGTATCCGTCAGAATGGCCTGCGGAGAAGGACGATGATTCCTCCGGCGACGAGGGCGACCCAAAGAAGCACGGCCGCCAAAAGTCGCGATACCAGGCCCTCGAGTCCTCTGGTGATGGGAAAGGCGCTGCCGTCGGGAGGAAAGGAGGGGTCAACAACATGGTGTTGAAGGACGAGCCAGACCCCCTGGGCACCACAGACAGCGTTGTCCGCTCGCTGCGAGAGAACGGACTCCAGGTACAGGACGACGTGCGACTTCGTGAGTCTCCAATGACTAGAGTTGAACCCGACATGGCAATTTACTAATCGCATTTTGATAGGCAACCGATTCATGCTGTCCTCGACTACCTTTTCGCCCGCCTTGTTCCTGTCACAGATACACGCCAGAGCTGATACGCGCACGTTGCTCGAGGGCCTCGATATCCTCTCACAGTCGATTGATCAAAAGTCAGCGTCTCTAAAGGTCCTCGTTGAGAGCAACTTTGAACGATTCGTCAAGGCAAAAGCGACTATAGACAATGTGTACAGAGAAATGAAATATCGTGGAGCCGAATCAGGCCCAGGGGCCAGGGGGTCGGTTAATGGCCGCCACGCCAGCCGGACAAGTTTACGTGGTGGCAAGGGTGGCCTGAACAGCCCAATGGCCATGTCATCGGATTCTCGAAAGAAGAACGCTCTCATTAAAGAAAGCGAATATGGCGTTCTGGGAATCAAAGCCCCCCTACTGGACGTATCCGCCAAGGCAGAAGATGTTTGGGGCCCAGCTCTAGGAGGCCGAGAAAAGGAAGAACATCTGAAGGATTTCCAAAAATACGTAAACAAATTCAAGGATCCGCTGGAGCTGAGCACCATAATATCTGATTGCATCAAGAGGAAAGACTACGAGACTTTGGTGGAAGCATATAACCGCGCCAGGCAGTTTGCGGATGACGCGCGCGCATTATCAAACAGGCTGGGACGCCAGTCACCTGAAGACGATGAGCTCTACCAACTCATGGTGGCGGCCCGCGTTTGGTATGATGTTGATCGTCAAATCCAAGCCTTTAAACGCGAGGTATGGAAGAGGCTGGTTTCCTTGCACACCTTATCAAAATCTGAAAGTCACGGTGGCCGGGGCCTGGACCAGTACATGGATGTCATTACTCTGTTACTGGAGCTTGGCGTCGGAGATAACCCGATATGGGTTTGGCTCCTCAGTCGATATGATTTCCTTAAAAGCAAGATTCAGTCAACAGCAGATCACACCAAAGCAGAGATTGAGGTGCTTCGCCGAAGATTGGCGGCCAACGAGAAGCCTTCTAGTC